TAAAAAGTGCTTAAAGGTGCTTATTTTCGTTTTTTAAAAGCCCTTAAAGGTGCTTTTTTAATTGGGTGTTTTCAAAAAGTGCTTAATTTTTCAAAATGAGATTTTTCTTTTACTACGTTCATTTTCGCTACGAATTATGCAAAATGACACAGTTCACATTTAGGTATTCGACGTTTTCATAATTAATTCAACCCCTATCTATTTTGGTGTATAGTCAGTCCGTAGCGTAAGAAAACACCATTCATTTTATATGATTCAAAATTTCATGATTTTCGTCAATTGTCAAAAACAATACAATAAGGTTTTTTTTTTTGACATGACGGTTAAAACAATATAAAACCGTCAATTGTTAAAAATTTTCCAAACCTGCCTAATTATAATATTTTTTAAAGTGCTTAAAAATATTTTTTGAATGCTTGAAACGTGCTTAAAAGGTGCTTATTTTTTGTTGAATAATTTGGCTACGCACCCTGTTAATAAATGCTTCTAAAAATCGAAGTAAATCGAACGGCAAATTAGTTATCAGATTTACTACAAGTAGATGTGTCAACTTCATAACAAAATTTTCATTTTATCATTCGACATCCGAAAAGTCATCCTGATTTCTTTTAAGAACTATTTTTAAAATTTAGTTTAAAAAAATCTAAAAATAATAACATGGTTTTATTTTTATAGGTGGGCAGTTTATTTCTTTTGAACTATATCTTGTAAAATATTTACTCTTATGAAAATTATATGATTTTTATATTGTTTTGCATTAATGTTTTAATACTTGGTCGGATTTCCGGTCGCGATTTTCCAATCTTGCAGCGTTTAACGACCTGCTCTCCTATTGGGCATTTTCTTAAAGGAAAAAAAAAACCTGATTCTTGTTTGTTTGTTTTTTTTTTCTTTTGGGCCAGATAAGAAATTTTACGAGAAATAAAAGCTTGCATTATAATTACGAGTAACAACAACTAGCAAGGGAAACTAGGGAAGTGTGACTCTCCCATTTTGAAATAAACTAGTGGGATGTATGCCTTATGAGAAATAATTTTAGGGAGCAACATTCGTTTCGGCCCATAGAAGGTCCTGTGAGAGATAAAAAAGAATTCAATATATAGAAAAATCGGTATGGATAGAGCATTCGCCTCCCATAGNCAAAAAATTTGAGTTTTATGGGAGGCGGTGAAACATCACGTGATAAATTTCTAAGAAAAGTACTTGACGTCATTATATGCTGTACAATAAGTTGTTCAAGTACTTCCGTCACTAAACAGATCACCTCCTTTTAATTACTCATAATGTCCATCTGACTGCAAGCAAGTGATCGCGGTCTCTTTCGTATTCCAGGTGTCTTTTTTTCTAGAAAACAGCATGGGAGTAAAACTAAACTCTGGACAAGAGGAATGGTCATTTTCCAAAAGATGGATGGACTTTCATTGTTGTTGGTGTAACAGATGAGACACCCGATTCAAAATTTTAGAAGGAATGTCTTTCCAGAAACAGCAGAAATGAAACGGTCACAGGGGGACGCAAATTCAATAGGAACATATATTTCTTTTTATCTGTAACAAGGATTGCTTATTTGCTTCATTTTTAATTTAAAACATTTTTCTAAAAAGAAAAAATATTTAAAGGATAAAAAAATTAAAATGCCAGCCAAAAATTTCGGCGCATAATTGAAAATTTTATTTTTAGAGCGACGCATAAACGAAGGATGTTTATCATTATTTTCCTATCTAATGTACTGGGACCTATAAAAATCGTCGTATAAATGAAAAAGGTGCATAAAGGAGGAGGTGCATAAGTGAGAGGTCACTGTATATAGAAAAATCGGTATTTTATTACTTCAATGCAGACTATTAGTTATTGTAATTGTCTCATACTGCAATTAATTTGTAATTAATTGATTAATTAATTTTCTAATTAATAAAATAATTAGCAAATTAATTAATTTTGATTTAATTATTAATTAATTATTAATTAACAATTAATTATTAAATAATTATCAATTAATTATTAAATAATTATCAATTAATTATTAGTTAATTATTATTTAACTATTAATTATTAATTAATTATTGATTAATTAATTAATAATTATTCATTAATTAATTTATTGATTTGCTATTACGTACTCCAATTAATTTGGAAAATTTCTGGAGAAAAAAAATTTAAAAAATTTGATGTCAATTTTTTTTTTAAATTAACCTAACAGGTTTTTCTGAAAAACTACAGACATATAAAATTTCCGAAATCAATTTGACAATAAATATGCATTATATAGTACGTAAAAGTACCACAAAATTAATTGGAGTATGAGATAATTATGATAACTAATGGTCCACATTGAAGTTATAAAATACCGATTGAATATATTTTTTATCTCTCACAGGACCTTCTATGGGCCGAAAGGAATGTTGTCCCCTAAAATTATTCTTCATACATCCCACTAGTTTATTTCAAAATTGGCGAGTCACACTTCCCTAGTTTCCCTTGTAAGAGAATAATTTCCAAAAAAGATAACGAGTTGTTAAACGCCGCTGGATTGTAAATTAGCAAACTGACCCAGTCATAAATTCAAATTTACCCGGAATAAGGTAAAAGATCCAACTTTCTCTGACAGCCGGGTACAGCAAGGATCTGGCAAAATTTTAGGAACTAGTACATCATAAGTCAAAATGATTGATTTGGTACGATGAGCAAGTATGCCAAGAATTGTAGACTGGACGCAAAAAGAAAGTTATATAACACGTCTCCTAGGACACGCAAGTTTCTATGAAAAGTAAAAAAAAAATAACCCCTCATCATAGATTTATTATAATTCTTGTGGCGAAAATTAGAACTTGTGGCGAAAAAAATTCTTCCCTGTATTAACCGCAGAATGAGAAAATAATTCTGTGAATATTAAATTACAACGCCGCTTTTCTTTGATACAATTGTTCACATATTGATTTGATTGTTCAAATACAACTCTTCTCCTGTTTTGAATAGCTTTGTTTTGTCTATCAGTAGATGGAATGGTTATAAACGCGTATACTAATAGATGTTAAAATAGGCAGCGAATTTATAGTCTGCTGTTTGTCATCCATCCCTTATTATTATTTTTTTAATCTTAGCAAATAAATGAAGTCAATAGAAATAAAACTTTCCCTCCCACATCGATGTAAAAAAAATTCACAGAAAATGTAACATATTAAACAGCAGTTGCCACAATTATTTTTTCCTAGAAAAACTGCTTGCTACTTATTATAATTGCATTATAAATAATAACTTATCGAAAATAACTTCAATCAGTGTGCTAAGTTTTTATTTATTAATTTCACTGGGGAACAATTTTTTTTTATTACGCTCGCATGAAAATTTTGCACGGATCTTAGATTTATTCTCGGGTCGCTGCTATTAAATATGTAATCGTTTTCTCTATACAAGCAACAATTTTTATGCAATTCAATATTATATTCCTAACCAGGATTTTTTAAATTCTCTTAAGTAGATACTAATTGTTCCCACTTCTCTGCTACATGAAGAGTATTGGAAAGTAGGCAAAATATTAAAATCATGTTTTCTTTTAAAGTGTTATTTTTAGTTACAGGCATAGACAAGTACAGAAACCTATATGTTCAATAAAAACTGTACATTAATACAAAAATAAACTAAACTAGAAATCTCATTTTGAAAAAATTCTGTAGTTTTCAGAACAAAACTAATTTTAGATATGAAATTCCCAAACCCAAATTAAGAAAGATGAAGTACCTGTATGAATGCAACATTCTTCAGTGTTGTTCCTGCCTTTAATCAATTAAATGAAACTTGTATTATGTTCTATTTCTTTACGGGAAACTGATCGTTTATAGTTATTATATAGTTATGGTAAAGCTGCCTAATTTTTAGCACTTAAGTAACAAACATAATATTCAATTTTTGATGATCATTGTTTCCTCTCAACCTTTTTCCACTTAGTTTTTGAATTCTCGATATTTATAATATGAAGGAATTGCAACGCAGGAATTTCTAACTCTGCTTTTCAGTTAATCACTTTTTAATACTCCAAAAATGACTATTTTATCTTAAATCAATGATCATTTTTCACTTAGTCACCATGCATCAAAACTAAAATTGATGAAATTTTGGGAATTAAAAAGCTAAGAAGTTCCGGGATAGTCTGGTTGGTACGGCGTCTATTCCTTGTCCAAGAATTAGTGAAGTCCGTCGGCCGAAAACTCTCCGTGTTGTAAACGGTGACTAGTGCATGTTAAATCTGTATGGTTACAAAGTCCTCCAAGTTCCAATTACAAATCATTACCTCTGCTGGTACTGAATCGGAGACTAATCGTTCTCTGCTACAGTCAAAATTATGATCTATGGATGAATGAATGGATCCGCCCTGTAAACGGGCTGTGACGAGTGTTTGGCTGAATGCGTATTCTTGGCCATAGATGGCGCTTCTGAAAAGCAGGAAACGCGCCCTCTGCCTTAAATTCGCTTGGTTTCGCCAAGCAGGTTGCTGATATTGAGAAACAACAACAAAAAGCCAGGATGAGTTTTCTAATAATTTTACTGATATCACGAGATTCACATGTTAATTCATAATAACTTTTAAATTTAACACTTAACACATTTATTTGTGCGCTTATTTTCGGGATTTAAGTGACATACTCTATTGTGCCATGTTACATTTAATTCCGAGATATTCGGAAAGTGGTTTTACTCCAAAATAAATACATTTTTAACAACAATAGATTTTAACTTAATTTCTAGTCTATTATTTACTTTTAAAACTAAACATCCGTTAGGAGCAATCTTTAATACTGAGTTTGAATTAGATTTAACATAATAACCTTTCTCCATTAAACAATTAACTCAACTAAATTTTGTCGTAATTCTGGAACACACAATGCATTACTCATAACAAGTTTTGTAATATTACTCAATGAAATTGCTTTAACTTATCCCGTACCTTCTGTATCCAATGTCTTACCTGCTTCATATATTTTACTGTCATTCAACTTCAGAGACTCAAACCAACATTTGTCTTTACACATGTGAGATGTAGCCCCGCTGTCCAGGATCCAACATTCGTTAATTACTCCTTGTTGCACTAAGGAAGACGTAGCGAAGTTATCCGGAGAACTATTGGATGCCAAAGTATCTTGAAAATCAGACTTTCTATGAGCTATTACTCTTCTTGTCGAAGGTATGTAGTGTCTATCAATCACCATTTCTTGTACTTTAGAATAAAATTTACTCTAATTGTCCAGGCCGTCTACAAACAAGACTTCCTAAATAAACTTTCTTCTGGGTTGCATACGCTGAGTCTGAATTCTTTTGTCAGTGAAATTTTGGAATTAAATCCTTTTCCTCTTCCCGTAAAATTTCTTCTATCGACTTTTTCCGTTGAGTTTTCAGCACTTGTTTGATTTATTAGATCAGTTAGATCTCTGACCGTCTAAAACACTAACTCCCTATCACATATTTTTAATCCTAGGGTAGCACATTTTGTAGCTAGTCCTTTGATTCGAACAATATAATTAGTCACGGCATCCAAATCCAGCGTCTCTAAGCTCTTAAGTCCGGTTACCCGAGCCAAACTTTCTACCTTTTTCGAGCCCAGTGTATGTCGCTTAAATTCTAGTCTGCCTTTGCAATCTTTTATTCGGCATATTGCAAAGCTTGCTCCTGGAACAGTGATAATTTTATTTAAGAAACTGTCTCTTGATTTGTAGTCTCCTAAATGGTTAATTTAGCAGGGTCAGTCAGAGATTCGTCAGTTAAAGTCAACATCAGTCTTTTCAAGTTCAAAAAAGGTTCTATTCCATTGCCCAATGATGAAAAGTAGTCGGTATGAACTTTATATAATTCCAAACGCTAAATCATTTTTCTTGATGATTCGTAACCTTTCAGTCCGCTACCAACTGTTGTTTGTTGAACTTGAGGAAGCGAAAAACAGTTGCCGGAAAATGAAAAGTTTTATTGAAACATAAATTGTGAAGTAAATATTGCAATGTGAAAAACATAACGTATAGACAGTGCTCAAGCAGATGAAAATTTAACTAACAATACCACCATCTTAGGTTTTTACACGGTTCTAACATAATTGATTCCTCTATCAGGAAATCGTAGCCTGCATGATGGTGTATGCGCAATTTAACAGAATAGAAAAAAAATAGTTTGTTGTACACCTATATTACAAATTGTATGATTTTATTTTCATAATTTAAATTAAAACCTTTATGATAACAAAACATCAAACTGAAACAAAAATTACACAAACGACTAAACAAACTAGAATCAAATAATTGTGATATTCTGGTTTGTCATCAATTTGCTAAAAAAATCTTCAACATCCAGATTATTATATTTCTTAATCAATTTTCTGCAGAATTTTAGATATTCAAAACTTAAAGTTTTCGCATTTAATATGAAAGAAAAATGGTAACAACACCATTTGGGTTTATTTTGTTGTATTTTTTATAGTTTGAAAAAGACACGCTTGAAGTATAAGTTTCTTTATAAGGTTATTTTCTTGGCAAATCGATAAATTAATGGGGTTTTTTAATACGGACATTGTTTCAAGAGCACTTACACGAACTTTTAAATCAAAATGTAGCAATTTTATAGATTTTTTTTTTAATTCTTCAAAGATCAGGCTAATTAATAAGTGTATTTAAGCATTAAACTAGCAATATTTTCGCAATAGTATTTTTGAACATAACTCAAAAGTTTCAAACTCGTGCATAAAATATTGAGAAACTTGTCTTTATAGAGGACTATAAAGATAACGCATATACCATATACGCTAGGTTGCAATTTTAACTTTGATCCGTCATCCATTTGAAGTCCTGAATAACAGTTCTGTGGATGAAATAGCCCGGAAAGTCCATTTCTCAATCCCAAGTAGTAAAATCCCAAACGATAGCTCGTGGAACGAGAAGGCATAGTGAGTAACAGCAGGGCTGATTGTGCTGCGTAGATCTAAGGTTCAGACGTTTCACAAAATCATTGATCACAAAAGTTTCCGGAAATCAAACTTTCAAAGGTGGAACTTAAAAACACAGTTTATTCTATTTGTTGGTAAGGGTGAGCCAGAGAGATACTTTATAAGCTTATATTCAAGATTAATATTCATTTTTAACAGTAAATAGTTATTATAATCATAAACTCAAGAAAGAAAGATATATTTGTAAATTTTAATTACTTCTCCAAATAATCATTGGTATGTGTAAATGGTATAGGTATGTGTAAAATTTTAAATATATTTTAAGTAAACTTAGGACTCTACAAAAAATGATCAATAGAAATCAATAAAAACATTTATTGGTATCAATAGAATTCTATTGGTCTGTACTTGCTTCTATTGACATTTCAACTGATGTCAACTGATATCAGTAGTGTATTGGTATCAGTAGATGTTGAACCGTAGGGTATTCTATTGGTCTGTACTTGTTCCCATTGATATTTCAACTGATATTACTAGTGTACTGGTATCAATAGATATTGATCAATAGAATTTTATTGGTCTGTACTTGTTTCTATTGATACTTCAACTGATAACAGCAGTGTATTGGTATCAATAGATATTGATCAGTAGGTACTCTATTGGTTTATACTTGTCTGTATTTCACACTTCAACTGATGCCTACTGACATCAGTGAGGTACTTGTATCAATAGATGCTGATCAGTTAGGTATTCTGTCAATACATCTATCAATATTTATTCAATATTCAATATATCATGACCAGTTCATTGTACTGATCTACTCTACTGATATCAGTGTTCCATTTCCCCGTACAGATAAATACATTTTTTTATTGATTTCTATTAATCATTTTTGTAGAAGAAATATTTAGAAAAAGGAAAAAACCTTGTTTAAATTTTTTTCTAATTTTTCGATTTAACTTTTTTTTTTTTTAACTCAAGAAATTTTCCGGAATTTGACTTGAGCTCACAATCACCCCTGGTAACAGCATATCAGACTATAATTCATATAGCTGGTATTTGAAACTGAGTCGCCCTCAAAAAAACATGATTTAATACTGACAATTCTTTATGCTATCGTTTGACATAAATGAAAAGCTAAAACTCTATTACTACTTAACTTGTCTCTCTCTTGCAGGTAGACTATGATCGTTGTTATAGTTCATGATTTTTATAACGTAACCGTAATAATTAGATGCTTTTTTCTTTATCTTTCTTAGGTTTAAAAGGCTACCTAGTTATAAGAGAGATCTAGAAATGGATATTTCTTTACTGCATCTATTAAAACTATCAGACAACGAAGCTGTACAACAGTATCTAAAATTCGATGAAATGAATCGTATCCTCGTTTACATGGAAATTTTCAAAAGTTTAAGAGTCGCCATAGAAACTAACAACAAGGCCAACTTTAAAAAATTATCCCATCTGTTGGCGTTGCTAAATGATGCTAGTGAAATTCCTGATTTACCTAAATATTTTGAGTCTCAAAATACTACCTTCAACACACCAAATGTAATTATAATTGCTTCCAAGTATAATCGAGTAGAAATTCTAGACAATATATTCAGTGACTCTTGCACAATCATCGATGACCTTTTCCTTAAAGTAAGCGGAGCCTTACCTTTCCCAGCTGATACCGATGAAGAATGCCACAATGCATTTTATTACGCATTGCGGTCAGGGAATACGAATCTTCTTGAAGTCTTAATTAAAAAATGGCCAGGAGATTATTTTTCTTCCCGTCCAGTTGAATTATACTCTATTTTGTCGAAGAATTACTATGAGTTGAAGTTGAAAAACGTTGATATATCAATGGAGATGCAGCTTTTCGTGCACAGTACTCTACTGGACTTGTATTTCGAGAATAAACTCTTTAATAGCCAAGTGATTTATTCGCATGATGATATCAACGAAAGAATATCACTAATTTCAGATTGTTATAACATGATTAAGGAAGCTGAAAATTATCCAGGTTCTGAATCGGAGACAATTTTCCTGGCGAAACAAGCGTGCCTGAATATTTTCATTCTTAAAAAGTGGCTTAAGTCCACGTACGACAGAATTCCTTGGGAAGAAATGGAGTACCACCTTATTTCTTATGTGCGTTATTTAAATCACCGGGGAAACTATCACAGTTGTTTCGTGCTAAGAACTGACATCGTAGCTTATCTTGGTAATTTTATAGACTGTTTAATGAAAGAAACCAATCAAGTCGGCAAAGTGAGCTTAAAAAATTTGAGTGCAATTCGTTACAAAAAACGTGATTATGTGGTTAAATGCATCACTGAAAATTATCCTTCTCTTAAAGATTTTTATCGCAACCATGAGTTAATCCGAGATAGTGAATCTCTTAATATTATTAAAAAGTATATAGATATAGCCAGTGAAGTTAATCCACTTGAAAAAAGTGGCCAAACGGTCATCATAAGAGCACTACAAGTCATGGGCGAAAATTTAAAAAACACCTTGGAATCGCCGAAGCTATCATCTGCTACGAGCAACTACTTGATGTCGTTTTTACCTCCTGAAACTAATAAGATTTTAATTGCATTGCGCAATTCTTTTTCTCATGGTTTTCCACTGTCCAAATGTAAAGAAATGATTGAAATTTACGGTGCTGAATTTTACGCATCTGTTCAGAAAGATTTAAAGAACATACACCACGGAATCACCTCAGTTCTCAATGAAATTAAGTGCAAATCCATCATAGCTCTGTTGGAAAAGATATGCGATTGCGAAGACATCGATAGATTGAGAGAAATATTTCAGATGCTGCGAATCTCAAGTATACAAGATTGGCTATCTCGTGATTTGCTGACGAACACCAATACATCAGAGTTGGAAAGACTAATTTTTGAATTTAGGAAAATTCTTGACGTAAAATCGCATTTCGAAGAAAATCTCTTTCGTAAAATAGATGAGATAATAAATTCTAACAAACATAGTTATGAAAATTCACAATTGATGTATCAGAAACTCATTGCAACGCTTGCTCCTATTCACGCATCTGATAGCAACATAGATGATTACGCAATTTTTGTTTTTCAGAAACTTACAAGACGAGCGCTGGACTATTTGATCCCACAAATGAAATCAGAAAAATTGAAAGAAGTCGGAACCTTATCGGGAGAAATCTTAAAGAACGTTCAACACCGAATAAATAAGAATGATTTATTCACGTTATGTTGCTTGATTCAAAAAATATATTATGTTTCAGGAAATGGACAACAAGAAGCTCAATATCTTTGCGAATTGAGGGACAGTTATTTGAAACAAAATTCTGAACAAATCAAGCAAACAGTTGACTCAAATCATATTTCATCTGTGCAAGTTGACATAACAGCTTTAAAAGAATTGATTGACAAGCATAATCTGTCTGAAACTCAAATTGATACATTTATCAGTTTTAAAAATAATATCACTCTCCAAGCCGAAGTTGAAATGCTGGTATTGTCCATTTTATCGGGTTTAAAAAACTCAAAAAGTTATTTAGTAACTAATCAAATTTCTTTGGACTCTGAATATCCATTGTTAGTAAGTAAAGAATTAAGAAATCATCTTGCACACGGAAATGCTTTGGGGGATATTTTAGTAAACATCGTTCAATCTCTGTTTCTGTTTGCTGTCAAACTTACCAAACAAGATGTTCGCAAAAAAAGAAAGAAATCGTGGGTTAAGCAGGCAATAGAAAACTCCAATGCGCATTCCCAATTCAAATATATTTCTTATTTAAAAACTCAAAACAAATTATTTTTGTCATTATCAAGTGGCTCCATAGAAGAAATGGATCTTTGGATTAGAAAAGGAGGGGACGTATATGGAAGAGATAATAATTCAATGACCACTTTGCATTATGCAGCTCAATCTTCTAATCTTGAGATTCTTTTGACTCTCATCGATTACGGAATTGACTACAAGGCTAAGGACTTTTATAATCGAAGCATTCTTCATATAGCTGCTGCTTCGGGTTCCAAAGATATAGTTGATTACCTCATAAGAAATTTAGTAATGCCAGTCAACGAAGTTAGTGATAAAAACAACACACCACTTCACCTTGCTGTGGAAAATGATTGTTTTGAAGTAGTCGAAACTTTGCTGTATCATAAGGCCAACACTTGTGTAAGGGATGCATTATTCATGACGCCTTTACATCGAGCAGTGTTCTATAGCAGAGTTAAGATTGCTAAATTGTTTCTTCGGGATGTTAGAAATTTAAATTTGGTTCGAATCTATGATGGTTTTACTTTACTACACACTGCTTCTGAAAAAGGGTCTTTGGAATTGGTTCTTTATTTTATCGATAAAGAAGTTGATGTAAATTCTGCAACTAATGAGCGGAGATCGACACCTTTGCATTTATCCGCTTTCTTTGGCCACTTAGAGATTGTTAAAGCATTACTGTCGAAGGGAGCTGACATACATGCAAGAAACGTAGAAAATCAGACAGCTTTACATAAAGCCGTTGAAAAAGGACATAGTGAAATAGTTAAATTTTTACTCTACAAAGGTGCTGACTCAAATGCTTTAGATGATGGGCAACATTCACCTTTACATTTCGCCATAAGAGAAAAACATATAAACGCATTGAAGATATTGTTAGAACATGATGTCAATAGTCAATACATCACATGGAATGGCGCTTCTATTTTAGAATATGCAGTTTATAATGGTGATATTGATATCGTTAATTATTTGATTGAAAAGTGTGCACCTTTCAAAACTATCAGACCTGATGGATTCTCTCTTCTTCATGTAAGCATCATACGTGGTTCTAATGTAATTTTGAAGCGTTTAATAGAATATGGTGTAGACATTAACTGCAGAGATGGACATGGTCAAACTCCTCTTAGTCTAGCCATAAAGTCAGGCAATTTAACAGCTGTTACCCTTCTCCTACAATCAGGAGCTGATATTTTTTCAACACACGACGAAGGACATTCTCTGTTGCATGTTTGTGCTTCTGTTCCTTCGCGAAATATAGAAATTATCGTTTGTTATACATCAAAAATGCAAATACCCAGAGAAATTATCGATAACAACAAAACAATTCGCCCTTCTTATACTGACCGATTGAACATTTTTAAAATTCTCGTTAGTAAAGGGGCAGATGTTGAAAAGAAGAACAATTCTAAGCAAACTCCTTTGCACATAGCTTGCATGGTAGGTAATATCGAAATAGTCAGATATTTATTTGATATTTCTACAAACATAGATGTACCAGATGACGCGGGATATACACCGCTGCATTATGCTGCCGAAGGAGATAATTTTGAGTGTGTGAAACTAATTATTGAAAATTCCAGAAGTTCTATTAATTCAGTGACATCCTATGGAGACACTGCGTTGTGTATAGCTTCAAAACGTAATTGCACTGAAAATGTTCGTCTTCTGATCCGTAATGGAGCTGATATAAATGCTGGGGATCCACTCTACAAAGCTATTCAGTGTTCATCTCAAGATGTTTGTCAAATTCTTCTCCAGAGAAAGGGAACTGATATCAGAAAGCAGTTTAATGGAAAACATGATACACTCCTGCAACTAGCTACAGCTAAAGGTCTCAAAATTGTAATTTCAGCTTTCTTAGCTAATAAAGTAACTTTACAAACAAAACTAAATGGAGATCTCGAAAAGTCTTTGGCACTTGCTATTAGTAATGGATACGATGATATTGTTACTCTTTTAGTAGATAATGGAGCTGAAATTAACAAAACATGCAAGTGTTCATCCTTCCCGTTACACTTTGCAGTTGCTCAAGGTCATTACCGAACCGTAGAAATATTGCTAAACAGAGAAGTGGACATAAACATTTTAGATAGTGACAATCGAAGACCAATTGAATTTGCTGCTTCAAGTAATCGTTTGAATATTATGAAACTAATTTGCAAAACTCGAAATATAAACTTAAATGCCCCAGGTAACGGGGATTTTACTTTATTACATATAGCAGCGAATTTCGGCAATTTAGATATAGTCAAGTTCTTAATCGATGAAGGAGCTTCAGCAAATTTGCCTAATTCATCTGGTTCAAAACCCATTTACATAGCAGCCAGAGACGGACATTTACACATTTTGCAATACTTAATCAATCATAACGATAAAAGCTTGAAAGAACGCAGTTGTTCCAACAAGACTCTTCTTCATTATGCAGCTCAATCAGGTCGATCGGACATCGTTAAATATTTGATTGAGAAAGAACTGGATGTAAATGATTCTGACGATGACGGAGTGACACCTCTTCATGTAGCTTCGGTGTTGGGTTTCGAGGATGTACTGAAAGTCTTATTGGATAATGGAGCTATTTACAATCGTACTGATATACTAATTCCTGAAGCAGAATCACCCAATGTGGACAATACAAATGTAAGGTTATTACTATCGCGGATAACGATTCTTTTTCGATCTGTTAAAAAGAATGATGTAACAAGGATTAAATCTCTTATTAAGGAAGGAGTTTGCGTTAATGCCAAAAACTCAAAAAAGGTTTCACCTCTTCATTACGCAGCATGGAAAGGCTATAACGAAATAGTTGAAATTTTATTGGAAAACAAAGGGAATCCTAATTCGTTGTGTGGTGAAGGTTATACGCCTCTTCATTATGCGTGCAAATTTAACAATTTTGAAGTTGTTAAAAGTTTGTTAGAAAGTGGCGCTGTGTACAATGTTTCGTCAAAAACCAAGAAAGTTCCCCTGGATTTAACTCAGAACCGTGATATTATCAATTTGTTGAAATTGATTGATGATTCGTTTCGAAATGTCTGTGAAGGCAGTTGTGAAGTTATAAAGAATCTGAAGGAATCGCTCTCGAGCAATATCATGAAGGCGACGTTTAACGCTAAGAATGGAGAAAAGAAAACCCTATTAACTTCGGCTATCTGTTGTAACTTTCCCTTCATAACTGAGTTACAACGCATCATTTGCAAAGATAGCGAGTTCATTAATTTTGTTTCTGGTGGATGTAAGGCAAGAGAACAATATGACACAGCATTGAAGTTAGAAACAGAGTTGCTTAAGAAAAAAGAACAAATTTTAGACTCTGAAAATCCTGCCGTGTTGGCAACTAAGGAGAATATAGCTACAACACTCTATAAGCAGCAAAACCATTCTGAAGCGCTTAATATTTGTAAGGATATACTTAAAATTAAGGAAACAAACTTCGGTAAGAATCATGCAGAAACTTTAAAAACGCGAGGATTTATAGCTCTTATTCTACACAGATTGGAACGCAATTCCGAAGCTATAAAGATCTTAGAAGACTTATACCCCAAGCTCGAACAGATTTTTGGATTAAATAATTTTGATGTTCTACAAACTTTATCAGATATGGCTTTGGTTTTGAATGGTCTTGGCCGACACGAAGAAGCATTGAATGCAAATAGAACAGTTTTTGAGAGATTTTCGAAATTATATGGCACAAATGATTATAGAACTCTAATTTCTCAAAATAATATTGGACAAACTTTACTTCTTTCTCGTAAGTACGATGAAGCTATTCCTTTTTTCAAGAGTGTCTACGAGTCAAGAAAGAAACTACTGGGAGAGTCTCACTCAGATACTTGCAGAGTGTTGTATAACTTAAACACTGCTTTATGCTTTCAAACAAAATCCGATGAAGCTCTGAAAGGTTTACAAGAAGTTTTAAGCAGACAAGAAGAAACTTTAGGTTGGAATCATGTCGATACATTAGATACTGAAAGTCAGTTGGGCATCTTATTAAAGGAACACTGCAAACATCTCGAGGCAATCAAAGTTTTGAAGAAAAATGTTCAGAAGCGAAAGGCAGTTTTCGGCCCTCATCACCCTTCAGTTTTACATATTAATAGACTCGTGGATGTGTTAAATACTTCACTTTCGATAGCGAGTCCTGAAAGTTTGTCAAGTTTGAACAATAAAAATTGATCCAGATAAAGTGTTCCAGGAGCATTTGTTTCGAGCATGATAGGCTTAAATGATAAATCATTATTACTGGAGGTTCATATACTGGAGAGTTCATATATAATAGACAATAATTTAAAATCTTTGAATAAGTTGATAAATCATTGACAATCTGGAATTAGCAATTAAAATATCAGTAAATTTTCAAATTTTTTTTGACATAAAAGAAAATTGGATTAATATTACATTGTCCATTATAAAGTTCTTAAAAGCTTGTGTTCTTTAGCTCTAACATTATCTGAGTGAACTTACATACTGCGCTATCAGCATAGCAAAACATACTTTTAACTGAAAATTATAAAAGCGTTCTGTCTTTATGGTATTGCTTTCTATTTTTCTATATTTTGTTAATTTACTACATAAATAATTTTAATTTTCATCTGTCATTATTTAGTTAGCGATTACCATTATTTTGTGTTTACTTGTTCAACACTAGCATTTCTAGCTACAAGAAGCTGCCTTTTTGCAATTTTTTTTTGAACTTGCATATTATAATACAGTACTAAAGCAGCTTTTATCTTATGTAGTATTCAGATAAAAATGCTTTTACATATTTTCCTGTTGCTAATTGGATGCCTGCAAGTGACGTCATCGTAGGTAAATTTAAATCTGATTTAAATCGCTTTAGAGCATAATCGCTTCTCTTCTCGAGTTCAAGTACCCAATTGTGTAAGTGTATTGTTTAATCTTTGTTTATTGAATTCAAATACTGATTTACCAAAGAAAAGTCTTTGTATTTTACAGCATTGATAAATTTTTATATACTTTGAATTTAAAGACAACTTGAACTTAAAAATCTTTGAATACGATATTTAAATACTGTAATTTGTATTTTTTTTTTTTTAATTTAATTATTGTACGAAAACCTATATGTTTATTTTTATCAATATTAAATAGCCAATTCAAATGGCTAACCGCAGTTTACTTTGCATTTAATCAATTGTTTAACAACGGCAAAAAGAGCTATTCATTGTCTTTGAGGAAGTTATAAAATTGTTAGATTTTAATTGAAGAATGTTTTGATATTATTTTGAAATGATTAAAACTGATGCTTAAACATGGGAGATAGGAACTAATATTTTTTATAAAGATAATGAAATTATTTTAAGTGTTTAATGCAATTTTTTAGAGGCGCAATTTTTTGCAATTTCTTAAATTTATGTTTTAAATTTTTAATTTAACTACAAATATTATGTTGGGAAAAAATCATTTTTTAAAATTTAAATTCAAATTTTATTAATTATTTTGTATAAAAATATTAATACTGTAATAATCTGTCCTCAGCATTTGAAATTAGCGTTTAAAATTGTTTTAAATTAAAATTTCTGACATTATTTTATTGTGCAAAATTATTATATATTATAAAAGTTTTTTTATTAAAACCTATAACATATATTGTTATGTGTACATTTAGCATCAACTTGTAATTAGCTTTCAATAAAAAATTTTAAGTAAAATTTTAAATATTATCTTAATATTATATTTAAAAGAGTTATATATTAAAAAGTTTTTATTAAAACATAAAATACATTGCAGCTTCAGAATAAGCAATACATGTTCTATGTTTATGCATTTCAGATTTCTAAGAGTTATCTTTTAGTGTTTTTGAGATAGGTTTTGCTTTAAAATTGTCCTTGATATTCAATTTAGAGGCTCTGGTACTCTATAAAACATAATTTTTTATCACTTGAAAGATAATAGATATTTTTTTTTGAAAAAGAAAAAATATAAAATGCTTAATTTTTCAACTTTGATAATTTAATATTTACATTAGACTTCTTTTAGTAATGCTTGTAGTTCTTATATGTGTGTTTATCTGATTTGTTTTTCAACTTTTATTGTTAATGCCTTTCTATTTTTTTAATACAATTCAGGCTGTTTAAACTGAATTTCATGATAAAATTTTAATATTCTCGTTTCATATTAATACAACAACATTTTTATGCTATTGATTTTTCTTATGTGTTATTTGAGCTTTAAACAGTAGAAAGTTCGGCTAATTTTGTATTAATAACATTTATTAAATCATTGAATCCACTGAATTTATTTCATTGTCTGAAGAGTATATTTTTTACTTATCGTGTTTGCAATAAAATTTTAAAATACCATTTTTCTGGTCAATAAATACTATACACATGTGCTTTAAAATTTCTTTGAAATTTTGCATTTCAAATCTTTGTTAACACTTTGCCAGCGGGTCACGTGAAAATATGTTTCTGAAATTTCTGAGATTCATATATAAATTTAAAAAGTGGTTCCGCTCTGTTTATCAAAGAAATTTTCCGTTAGTGATTACCACAAACAAATGACTCAGTATACAATCAGTATTACAATCAATCGTAGTTTTTTTTTTTTTTTTTTTTTTTTTTTTTTTTTTTTTTTTTTTTTTTTAAATTTGAAGTTATTTCCAATTTTTTATAAATATTGCCCACCACTTTTTTTTAAATTTTAATCTAGAACAGCTGTAATGCATGTTTTAGAAAAGTTTCCCGCTTGCAATGTGTTAAATTATATAAATTAATTTAATAAAATACTCGCCACAAAATTTCAATTTTTATTGAAGGACCAGGTTTCAACTTAATTATTGAAACTGTTCAAACACCACAGATCTATATCTTGTACAATACTTTTCTCAGGGCTGTAAATGCCCCGTTAAAGGAAAAAAACAGGTAGTAAAACCGATTCATATTAACCTTGCATTCAGGATGAGTGAAGTATCCCTGCCTATTATGAATCATAACAAATATACTATGTACATAGGGCTATTTTTTTATCTTATAAAAAGTAAATAGTATTGGATAGTTCATAGTTAAAAATGTTGACATTTTCCTCTCAACTTTTTAAGAAATCTAGAAATAAAATGGTTTTTCCTACAGATCATCATCAGATATCAGCTTCAATTTTCTAGATACTAGCTCTGATATCTAGAAAAAGCTTACTAAGTTGAGAAAACAATATCACGAATGTTTTCTCCACTGTTTTATTTTTTTTTTTAAATTTCCTCTTAGATTTTAGTTTATAATCGTCATTGAACAACCAACCATATAACACCGATTAATGTTCAACTTTTATAGCTTCGTAATTATGAACCCTAACTGGAAGACAAGGACACTCCTAGAAAGTATAGGTAGAAATTTGCCTTTGTGGAGAATATTTTGATGGAACTAACCTGCATTTACGTTACGAAAACCCCCAAAAAATCCCACGGTTAGACTGATGGTAATGGGATTCTAACCCACTCTCCATCTACCACTGAGAATATTTTACGTCAGCACTGTGGTCGGTGCTAATCGGGTGCGGAATTCGTATCGATCAGCCATGCCGGGTTTCGAACCCGGTTGACCTCATTGATAAGCGGACGCTCTATCCCCGGAGCCAACGTTCATTAAATCTTTCAAGCCTAATGTAACGTCTCTCCATTACTCCAGGAACTCAAAAGATGTCAAAATATAACACGCCACACAAGCAAGATAGTTAATTCAAAATGAGAATATAACATCGTTATCTCAACATTCATTTTTCAGACCATCATTTTGCAAAACTTAATTGCAAATGTTTCGGAAAAAGTCATAAATTGTAAAACCTCAGAATTCAATGAAATTTTTACTTCTGAGACCTGAAAGATGACCTCAGACCAATGTTTGCTTATTTTTGTAACGAAACATCTTTATCTATGATACAAAATATTTGCATTCCAGTGACCAGAATGTACTAGCTTCAAGTCAAAACTTCAAAATGGATGGTAAAAGGGCCGTAAACAGCCTCAGGCAACTAGATAAATTTTGATGATGATAAAATCATTTAGATGATCATAAAATAATTTTGTGCAAAATTTATGTGAAAGCAAAAGTAATTTCGTTACATTTAACATACCCATATTGATGTGACAACTTTATATTATTTTCCCTCATTAAAAAACACTGAAAATGTCGCAAGCGCTTTATCCACTAAGCTCTTAAAATATGAGTTCTCAATTTTTTCATGTATTTTTCATACATTAACCTGCTTTTGTGTCTGGATATTTATCAGTAAAGAAATATAACCTCTTTAGACCTAATATGGCACGTCAAAGGCCCGGCCTGAAAACGGTGTGAAACTTGTCGCTATATTTTTAAAAATATACACACTTTGAAATACTCTTCTCTATTAGAAATATTTTCATTTCGTTTATCATGGTGTGAAAAAACTTTGTAACACTGATTTTGTAAAAGAAAAAAAAAAGAGAGAGAGAGAAAAGTTCTTATTTTAAAAAGTAACGAGTAAAAATTACAAGTACTAAACAAAAAAAGTAACGATTTAAAAGTACATTTCTAGGAAATCGAAAATTCAAAGTAACCTAAAATTTTATTGAATAATATTCTTAGGTTCTTTAATGTTTTTGCAAAATTGTTGTTATTTATTTAATTATTTTTAATTTTGAAAGTTATGGACATAAATTTATTTTTAAATTCGGAAGAATATTATAATATAATCGTATAATATAATTTTAAAATCAAATATAATTTAAATATCAAACTTTTTATGGATTTGCACGAAAAAGAAATTTTATCTATTGATTTTAATTTTTAGTTTATTATTTTTATTTATATAAATTACCATTGATTTAAAATTGTTTTACTCTATAGAAACGCGTTTTAAAAGCACAAACATAAACAAAGCAAACACGGGGTTTCATTTAACTTTGTGATCTTTGAGCTAGTAAAAAATAATTGAATGTGCTGTATAAGTTGAAACAGAACAGTCTACAGTTTTATTTGTAACAGTGGCTAATGCTGAAGTCATGCGAGAAAATCATTTTCCGAACATTTCTGCCTAACGGAATAATTAAAATTTATCAACGAATTTTAGTATCAGCGGCTAAATTAATACCTTTGAGTTTTCACGAGTTAAGATAGTAATTATAATAGTTTTCAATAGCAGGAGCTGACAGTACATGTATACGTTTTTTTATGAACTTGAATACTCAGACAAAAACAAACTAAACTAAAAATGCCCTTTTGAGAAAAAAAATATGTAGCTTTTGGAACAAAATCAATTTCTTATTTGAAATACAGCTTTCAATACAAGTAATTGTGCATATAAATGCAACACGAAACTTATTCTACAGTGTTACGAATAAAAAAATCAATTTCATAATTAAAAAAAATGGTGTAACAAACAAATAGAAATTAGCTTACTTAAGGAACCATTATATTTAAATGAAATGTTTATAAAATTATACTTATTTTTATGCAAAATAATGCGTTCATTTGTTAGAAATTTTGAAATATATATATATATATATTAAATTTTACTTCTTCCACAAATGAAATTAAAGATAAAAGAGATAACTATTTGTCGTACATTAGCAACCTGGAAAAAGACTTTGTGCCATATTGATCGTATGTAGAGCAATACATTTGCGGCATCGATCACTTGAATAATAAAATCTGAAATCTAAGAGGAAATTTTTATGTGAAAATCGGAAGAATTAAAATTATGTTCATAAAAATCAAATTACTAATAAAATATAACATAGGTGCGGAATATCTAGACTGCCAACATGTATGGTGATTGTGAAAAATTTTACTAATTGATAGTGAATCAATAATTAAAATGGAAAGTAATTTTTTTTAAATTAATCCATTTTGCAATTCTTTAAAAACTAGAAGAACACTCAGGGTATTTCCAAAAGATTGACTAATTTTCCTACATTCATAATGGGAAAAAGATTAAGGGCCCTTTTTAAACAAACAAATAAATTCTACTTCATCTATATTTTTAAAATATGGTGAATATCACTATTTCCTTATTTGTTTAATAACTAATTAGTATTTTTGAATATTTTTTGTTCCGTTTTCATATGTTCTATTGAATCTAATGACTAAGTTTTAAATTTAAAGGTTGTGAGTATTTTTTAAACTTTTGCAGAGTTTAAGTTTTAAAAATATTTTCAACAAGAAATTTAAAATTCAGTAAATAGGTTTAAATAAATATATTTCAGGGAATAAAATGAAACTAAAATATTCATGGTCATTAATTATAATATAAGGAATTCGAGTAGTTTTAAATATGAAGAATTAGCCTTCTCATAATTCTTCCAATTTAAAATTATCACGGAGGAAATGTAACCCTTTTTTGTATGAAAGGACCCATAAATTTAAAAAATAAATAAGTAAAAATTAAATAATTCTTGCAACAAATTTATGGGATTGGACATAAATTTTTCAACACATCTGATATTTAATCAAAATATTTTCGATACATATCACTATAAATCGAAATAGTAAAGATTGCACTAGAGACCATGTTGAGAATATGTAATCTCTGGCTCTTACAAGTTTGACCCTACCCTTTCTCATTCTACTGCTATTACCACAGTTAAAAATTCCTTTGAGTTTGTTTCCCAATTAGTACATTTTTCCTTCTTCAATAAAGAACAAAATTATGCTCTCTCTTGATTTTGTTTCTCTTTCTATACTAATGTGTCCAAGAATTTCATTACTTTTTTATTAAAATTAAAGATATCTCCTTTGTCAAATCCCGTGTTCAGCAAAATGCTTTTTAATTCAATGGTAATTTCTTTTCGCAAATGGTAGGTTTAACCATGAGCGACCCCCTCGCCTCCTTTTGTAACATATTCATGCATTATTTCAAAGAAAAATAGAAAAATGTTTTAAATTGTTCAAATTCTCAAGGTGGAAAAAATGTATTGACGATACGTTTGTCTTAGAAGAGTGATACTGATTTTTGAGTTACTGTCTGTTGTAAACTCGAGTAGAAGATCTCAAAATTAAAATATTTATTTTTGGAAAAGAAAAAAAAGCAGAAGAGAGTAGAAAAGCTGTCTTTTTGACTTTCGAAATGGGCTATAGGGGACGTAGAGCTAGAATACACCATATAGGAAGAGGCCGGTTTTATGCCGTTAGCCCTACTCCCTTCCTTCTCCTCTTTCCTACGATATTTCCCCTTTTTATTTAATAAAAATATTTTTTTAAATTTCCATGGTGCTTTTCTTTAGAACTATGTTTAATGTAGTTTTCAGTTCCATATAGTTTTCCAACTTAAACGATTTTAATCTATATGAAAATCAAGAGAGAATTTAACATATTCCCTTCCTCTATGACTCTCCACACTCTAATGGGGGAAAGCATGCAAGCGCTGCTCTACGCCACCTTTAGCCTGTGGCGTAACTACCACTGCAAAAATTAAACATCAATTTACTGGTATATAAGACATGCTAACTTGATTCCCCGCCCCCACAAGACCATTTCGATCGCTAATTCATGAAGGAATAAGTACATTAGATTTTGTCTTTGTTTTCAGATAGATTAAAAACTTTTAAGTTAGAAAACTATATGGGACAGAAAACTACATCGGACATAGTTCTAAAAGAAAGCATTATGGAAATTTTAAAGAAATATTTTTGATAGTTAAATACGCAAAATATAATGAAAGGGGGAAATATTGTATTACATTCCTGTACAACTGAGAAGAGGGAAGGTCTCCCAATTAGAGCGTTGCGATCGGGATTAGGAGAGTTCTTCTGAAAATGGTTTTTCCACTTTTTTAATTTTTTCTTTTCTGTTCTGCAGAGCCATCTCATCGATGACGATCATAGCTGCGTGAATCGTATGCAGTGTGAACGGTCCTAAGGCAGTCACCAACCAACCAAGTTCAATTGAACAGAAATAGGCAGTTCTTATACCTCAATGTTATTTATTTATTTTTTAGATTTGAAAAAACAAAACAAACATATGCTGTTAATTTCTCTTATCAAACAATTGAAAGGCATCAATTTGCTGCTTATGAAAACTTAAAATGAGTGAAGCTTGTGGTTCCAGGGAACAATTTATCGATGAAGACTATGAGTCTGAGTTCGAGTTTGATACCCAACCAGGCAATAAAAGAAAATCTATAGACGATGAAGTTACATTCAAAACTCCTGCAAAAAGAATTTCCAAGCCAAACAGACAGACATTCCATGACCAGTGTGCATTAGAACAGGGCCGTTCTCAACAACAAGCATACCAGGCCTTAGACGCCTATACGAGGCATAAAAAACTCATCAACGATTACGTTCTATGCTATTCAGGAACCACTCAAAAACTTAGAAGAGATACTAGTAATTATAAAACTGATCATGATATAATCCGTGAAAATCATAAATTCTTATGGGAAGAAGATGATGACGCAGCTACCTGGGGTGAAAAGCTAGCGAAGAAATATTATGACAGACTCTTTAAGGAATATTGTTTGTGCGATCTCTCTCGCTATAAGGATAAAAAAGTTGGCATGAGGTGGCGCACAGAGAAAGAACTTATTATCGGTAAGGGGCAGTTCTTCTGTGGTAATATTCGTTGTGATCAAAAAGATGAATTGAACAGTTGGGAGGTTCTGTTTTCTTACGTGGAAAAAGGTGAAAAGAAAAGTGCATTAGTCAAATTACGTTTGTGTGAGCGGTGCTCTGACAAGCTGCATTATGGATATAAAGGTAAAGCAGCTCTGAAAAAGAAGAAAGAAAAAAGTGATTATAATTCGAAGAATAACTTAGTAGATACTGTATCGGTACCTAATAATACAGCTGATGAAGCTCACACCCAAAAGATTCCTGAGGAAACGAATATTTGGAAACAAAAGATCAAAGAGGAAGTAGAACAATCGAAAGAAGATGCTTTTGAGGAATTTTTGGAAGAATTATTGCTATAGATTTACTTATGAAGGATATTTCCAAATTGGATCTTGCCAGCTCAAATTTCCAATTGCAACTTCTCAGTTCAGCATTCGCAATAAATTTTTTTAAAAATATGTAGTGATTATAAGTTTTAAGAGTTGACTCCATTCAATGATGTCATTATTATTTTCATTAGTTTGTGTGCCACTGTCCCAGGCAATTCGGCAACAATATGGAAACGTTCCTATTTATGACATTAAAATATCACATCATCTTATTTCTGCTCATGTTCTACGAATCCATATTATTCTACTGCTTAATATCTGAAATTGTTCTTGTGCCCTTTAAAAATTGATTATGTAATGCTTTGCTAAGATAGTAAGGAAAAAATGTAATGATAAATTAAATGTATGTATAATTTATAATATATTTAATAAGCTAATATGTAAATTGCTTTATCATTGTTATTAATAACTATGCTTCATAATTTTTTGATTGTTGTTAATTACTAGTTTATCTCATGAAATTTATTATTTTAATTATAAAAAACAAGTGACCCTTAAAGTATTAATAGAATTATTAATCATAATACATTATATTAACTAATTATCTAAACATATAGAAAATAAAATACGATAGGTAGTTATATGAGTTATAAATAAATAAAAAATATTGATACCTATATTTGTTATCATTAAAAATTCTTTTCTTCTGTTAGTATTTTGTTTTGCTTAGAATTCAGAGTCATGAGTCAGTTATAAGTTAAAAAAAAGCCAAGTAAAGAGAGAATAAGAAATATTGCTTTAAATGAAAAACAATTTCATGTTTTGAATCATTTAAAAATCTTGTAAATCCAATGTGAAAGTTTAGTTTTTGTAATAAATACATGTAAAAATTATTTATTTTAAAAAAGTAAGATTGCTTTATTTTCTACATTTTGTTTTATAAAAAGGATTTGAAAAATAAATTATGTTTTGTTTTTGGGTTTAAAAAATGTATTCTATTGTTCTTATTTTGCATATTTTTAATTCAGAATAATCAATTAATTCTGGCATGTCAATCTATTTTCTACTTTTCTTAAACAATTTACCATTAGTTTAATATTTATACTTTCATACCTGCTATGAAACTGTTTTAACCCATAATCATTTATTTATTTTACATCAAGTTTTTTATTGCTCTGCACCAAATTTGATAAAAGTGGACTAATATAAAAGCCAAAACTGTTCCTTAACGCCATTTAATAAATTGTGACAGTATAAAAATTTATACTTCAGTCCCCAAATATGTAAAATGTACACAATTATCGTTCAAAAAAACTGTGTAAAAAATTTTAAAACAAAAATAAATAATGGAAACATTCAACATTCCCTTATTTTAATATGCAGGTCAATCTGGCAGAGATTGATATGCGAATTCTTTTATTTGCTTCTCGCAACTGCACTTAACTTTCAGGCATGGTGATATCAGTGATGAATATGAATTTAATTTAAAAAATATGCCTTTTCAAACAATATACATTGTTTAATTTCCAAGGGAACAAAAATATATTCGTTTTTATGCCTTTCCTTACCTGTGCCAAAGCAATTTAAAACTACATTTACATGATTTCAAATTCATGTTTGCTTGTTTTAAACTCGCGGCTTGATTCATATTTACACGATTTAAAATTGCACATCAAATTTCGTTATTTTTGAAATTTTACATTTGCTCGATTTAAAAGCCACCATTATGATTCATTGTTTGAGAGATTTGAAAATTATATATCAGAATTCATATCCACACAATTTTAAAATCGAACATCACGATTTGTATGAATTTAAAATCGAACATTGAGATTTGTATTTCAGAGATTTTAAAATTAAATATTAGGGATTTAATTAAATGATTTAATAATCGCACACTGTAATTATGCACACAATTTAAATAAAATCTTGTGCCGATATTTTTCTTAAAACATTGATAATACTCTGTGGACAAACGCATCATACATACTTTTTTCTTGTTTAAAATTCAGATATTTTTTCAATTATTATAAAAGTTCTTTTACTCATAAGATTTTTGGATTTCTATTTCCAGCTGTTTTGGTTTTTTACCAAACTTTTCCCTGTAATATGAATAAAGAGTTTTAAAAAATATTAGATTTTTTCAACAAAAAAAAAATCCTTGTTTTTCAAACAAACTTTGTCAAAATGAGGTGGCGATAAAATATTTTTTAAATCAAGTCTGAAATCTTTTGATAAGTGTGGCTACCTTGTAAAATACCTCAATTTTTTTTAAACATGAAAAAAATAAAAAAACAGATTTATTTTAAGGAAAATGTAATTTTTTTCTTTTAATGTAAAAAGAAAAAAAAGTTTGAAGTCTTGTTTTAGAGATAAAAAACTATCATATTTGCATATCTGCAAACCTCTTTTTTTTTTTAAATGCACAAGATTTTCCACTTGATATTCTTTAAGAGGGCCTATCCTTGCCATCTTGGATTTAAAGATATCATTTTTAATTTGTGTTTTCTTGATATTTTTTTGTGCTCAACAAATATTTTGATATAGGCTTATAAGACAGTACAATATCTTTCAAAAAATGGTAGTAGAAATAATTGCTTGATGATTTTTAGTACTTCTGTAAATTTCTCCTTATAAAGAAATAAAATGCGATTTAATGTTAGGAGTAATTTAAAACATGTTTTTTACAGTTTTTAGATTTTTAAACTCTTAATTTTATTACGGTTTCACTAATGATTTGGATGAGACTAAAAAATTCCTTTAATGTTAATTGCATAAAAACAAAAATACTTATCAAAAATCTAAACAAAAGTTTTTCCTTTCTTTTTGGTATTATAATGCTTATAACGTATCATATTTTGAATTAATTAATGACCTACAATATTGATCTGACTGAAGTGCACTGAAAATTCAAGATGTCTTTGACAAAGAAAAAAACTTATTCTTATTACATGCGTATATGCATACATAAGTAGTTCTATGAAAGAGCAAAATTTGAAAATGCAAGACTTAAGAAGAAAGGCCAAAAATGCAGAGAGCTTATGTGGAATACAGAAGAAATGGCAGATATGTAATAGTGACATCTTGATTTCTAGTGATAATGAGAGAATCTTTAATAATGAGATGGAAATATAATTTTTAGTAGTAATACTAATTTAATTATTATCTCAAATAAAAGCAATTATATACAATTATTATAGCGGTAGAAATTGAATATAAATTTAATGAAAATATAGCTTTATTACATTTTAATCAGGGTGTAGAAGTTACATAAATAAGCATAAAAACCATAGAAATATAATTTTTTGACAAAAAAATGTGCAATACTGAAAAATATTTTTCTTCGAGTTTTAAGACTAGGAAAACAGGAAAAAGTTATTTCTTAAGCCTACAAATCTCTATAATAAGAGTGATTAATTAACTTTACATTCGTAAGATATATACAAATTTATTTAGTATTTTTTAACACATTATCTATTTAAATAAATAATCACAAGAATCCACCAATTTTTATAAAATGTCCACTTTTTATAAATAAGTTGAGCATACAAACAGCTTTAAAATTTATGGTCTTTACAGTTAAAATGTATACATACATTTATCTAACAGTAAGTAATTAAAATAATAATAATCTATATTAATATTGATAAAATGTGAGTTTTCTTCTTCATAGTGCTGAATAATACAGCCACTATGCATTTCTCTGCGAAAGGAAAACATAGGTAGGTGCGAAAAAAAATTTAAGAAATCTAATGAAAAGGATCTGATACAAGGGGCTAGGCAAATAAAATATGATAATAATAAAAAAAAACAATTTAATTGAACAAAAATTTTAATAACATAGCTGCTAAAGTACTTTAAATGGTTTAATGTACAGCCAAAAATCTTCTTCATAAAGTTCATTAGTAATTTTGGATTAAACTTTAAATAAGAGAATATATATATATATTTTTTTTTTGCTGATACTTATGAAATTTTTACTTATCTAGCTCAGATAAACAAAGATTATAGTTTTAAAAGTAAGGAAGATACATTAAAAAAAAACATTAGATCTATAATGCAAAGAACAATCACTTTTTCAAAAATTGGTGACAATTTTTTCCAAAATTTATTGATAAGTAGCAGAATTGAATTTTACTTTTGCTTATAAAATAATTCATTTTCTAAGAAAAGATATTTTTAATTTTCCTTGGTGAAGTGACAAAAGCCCCTTATTGAAAACATTGAGAAAATTTCTATTTAAATACTTCTGTCTAAATAATCAAAAAGGTTCACAGTTTACTCCTTTACTACAGACTCCTCAGCAGTTACTTGTGAGAAACAAAAGCAGAAATTACCAGTGAGGACCTATACAAAGTATTTCCTTTGATGCTAGACTCGTAGCAATCCTAGATAAATAAACCATAATTTTTTTTTAAATTAAGTTAAAAAATCCTTTGGCACCTTCAAGATTGTAGTTAGCATGAACAATAGCCAATACAGAAAAATCCTGAAATAATCATTAACCCATAACAAAGCAATATACAGCATTGCACAAAAAAATTATCTTAAAAGATAAGAAAAATTACACTTAAACATAAGTTAAGGCAATAAATCTACAATGAATAATAAAAAATTTACAATGGAATTCGAATTGAATTAAAAATAAATATTTTTGAATTTAAGAAATTAAATTCACATGACTAACCATTGCGTAAGAACGAAAGGCAAGAAAATAAATAAAAGTATATTCTCAATACATAAATATAACAGATTTAAAACTACACAAATAAAACTACTAATATTTTTTAACATCATGAAAGCAATTCTTGTTTTAAAAACTAAAATTGCTAAGACAATATGCTTTAAAAATATAATAATAAATGTTTTTGTAATAGACTGCATAGGTCTATGCTTGTTCATAATAATTATAGATAGATAAATATTGTAATAAATTCAGAATTACTAACAAAATTAAATTTTTTTTTAAATAATTAAGTTAATTTATCATTGTATACATTCCAACTTTATGTACAATAAAATAATGTAAACTTTTTTTTTCTCATATTAGATCAAAAACACTATTGTCAACAGAGTTCTTAGGATTCGATATTTTCTTCTTGACGGATCCATTTTCATTAGCTTCCACAAACACAAAATTCTTTGTCACACGGCTACCTTGAGCATTTGTCACATCGAGTTTAATTTTTTTGAAAGATTTTTTAGCCTCTTCTTCATCTAAGAATGAATTTCGAGGTCTTTTATTGAAAGAGTGTGTTGCCCGATCTGCTACAATTTGAGTTGCAATTTTCTTCTTAATTCCCACTTTAAAACTGGTGTCGAAAGAATGATCTGCCTCGTCTTCATTTTCATTGTTACCATTCTCTTGCATCCATTTGATCTTGTCACCATGGAAAGGCGTTTCACTGATTTCTTCTTCGTTTTCGGAACCAGATGAGTTTTGATTGTGAACAGCTTCAACTTGATTAAAAGACCAATTGAACTTTCTCTGACGAGCTGCATCAGAGAACAGCTCCCCTTCCTCCAAAAAGTGATTCTTAACTTGTCTTATCATCCGGTCATCATCATCCAATAAATGCTTTAAATGCAAGGTACCTATCTGGTCACGTAATTCATCATTAGCAGGAACATCAGTATCATCAGCAAAAATCAGAGGATCTTCACCATCTAGATCATGTTCATCCTCATCTGAACTGCCTTCTTCACCAGACAACTCTGCCTCATTCTCAAAATAATCACGTACATTCCGAGGTGCTTTCTGTACTTCTTTGCCATCATCGATTAAAGATTCTTCAGAATCATAATTCAAATTCTGCTGATCAATCTCCACATTATCTGCATTGTTTTCATCTTCGGAATCAGAGCTGAGTTCGGGTTCATTCTTGCTGAAGTTAAAGTTGGAGTTAGCTTCGAGTAACACAGAAGCCGGATGAACGCGAGTGTCCTCCTCACCATACCTGGACTCTTCATCAATTGGTGAAATAGGTCGTATTTTCTTATTAAGAACTTTCCGCTTGAATCTTAAGTCATCTTCACTATCAGAGTCGGATTCTATTGCCGGAGGAAATGCGGGACAGTTGCTGTCGCTAACATCCCCTTCAGAGTCTTCATCTGCAGAAATATTAATCAGGGGTGGTGTTTTTGGTAACTCATCTTCATCAGGAAACTGTCCAGAGCAAATGTCCATGACATCAGCTGTAATCATATCCCTAGATATATTGTGTTTACTAGATAGCAAATTTTCTTTGGCGAGTACTTTATCATAAACTATTTCATCATTCTGAGATAATGGAGGTAATGGATTGGAACTTAACAAATCTGATGAACCAAACAATGATAAGCTTTGATTTTCTTTTTGCGACTCATTTTCATTAAAACTAAGATTAATTTGTGACACATTTGAAGTAATAGATGTTGAATGATCTGCAGTTGTTGCAAAACCTCCTTGCGGTTGAAAGGATGGTAAAGAAAAACAAAAAGGTGAAGATTCTATTTCTTTATCAATCTCACAAGGCTCGTCAACATCATTTCTATTTGATTCTTGGTAGCCAATAGGTAGTTCTGGAAGACTGTCATCTTGTTCACCTACATCTGGAGTTGATAAAGTATCAGTAACTGGAAAATTATCATCGATAACATCATCTTCAGTTAAATCTTCTGTTTCAGATTCTGCACTTTGATTTTCTTCATTGCTTTCTAACACTTCTTCCAACATTTCATTTCTTTCTCTTAAAGCAGCTTCTTTTTTCTTAGCAATATCATTTAATAATTTCATTTTCCAAGACAATCGTTCAGCACCAATAGGCTTAGGGAGAGATTTTTTACCTGTAGCTTTATCGTCAGAATCAGATTTCAAACCATTACATCTGCTCATCATGTTTAATACTTTTTTACGAAAAGGCTCTACTTTATCCATTCGAGGAGGTCCAATTTCAAAAACAATATTATCAGCCGGTTTCAATGTAATCTTATTCGATAACTTTGGTTTTTGACTACATTCAGACATGGTCTTCAATAATGGCTCTTCAAGACGTCTATTGGTCTCGTTCATGTATTCTCGAAAATCAGGTTTGGGCAAGTGAAAATATGGTAAGGATAGAGTTTGCCTCATCAACTCTTTCCCTTTCACATCTCTAATAAAATCATTTTTAGGTCTCTTTACTGGAGAGTTATCGTCTAAGCTATAACTGTTTTCATTCATAGTATCAGGAAAATTTTCCTCTACTCCTGTATTATTTTTGTCACTTTTGCTAAATTCAGTTTCACTGTTATCTAACTCATTGAAATGATTTAAGTTTTCCTTGGAGAGTTTAATTGTAAAATCAGTATCATAAATTTCGTCTAAATCAGCAGATTTTCTTCCATCCCGATCAACAACACTAGTACTTTCAAGTTCATCTGCACTAAGTAAATCGTCAGAGAATTTTCTAAATTTCTTCTTAAGCTTAACTGGTGAATCATTATCAGAAGTTTGATCTCGATCAGCAGATTCAGGTTCATCATGTTCACCTGTATTATTAAGTAAATTATCAGAGAATTTTCTAGATTTCTTCTTAAACTTAATTGGAGAATCAGCATCAGAAGTTTGATCTGGATCATTAGATTTCTTTTCATCATGATCAACAATACTAATAGGGACAAGTTCGTCAGTATCTTGTAATAAATTATCGGATATTCCTCTGAATTTTCGCTTCATCTTGATTGGAGAATCAGTCTCAGAGTTTTGATCTGAATCAGCATTTCCTTCATCACACTTAACAATATTAGCATTTGAAAATTTATCTGTATCTTCAAGTAAATCAATAGGAAATTTCCTCATTTCCTTCACCTGCTTAATTGTAGAATCATTATCAGAAAATTTTTCCAAAACAGAAGGTTCAGGTGCTTCATCATCACATGAGAGTTTTTTCTTTAGCTTAACAGGAGAATCATTATCTGAAAGATGGTCTGGATCAGAAATTTGGCTCAATGTATCAAATTTTAGCTTTTCATGTTGCATATTATTCAGTTCATCTACATCTTCAGCTAATTTTAGTCGTTTCTCTTTCTTGGTATGTGACTTATCTAATTCCAAGTCAATGATTATATCACCATCAGATTTAACTAGATCATCGACATCTATAACTTCAGGTAATGCATCAGAGCTTGAATTAGGTTTTAAAAGTTTCTCGCAATTTGCATTTTCAACATCACCTGATTCCTCAACAGAATTTCCAGAAGAATCATGCACGATCTCTATTTTCTGTTCATTACAATCACTTACTGAATTAGAATTCAACATTTTATCGTCATAATTCAAGTTCGACGCTTCAACAATTTTTGTGGACGCAGGCATTTCATTGAGAGAATGAAACAACTTACTTATTTATTAATTGTTGTGATTAAGGTAGTAAATGAGAAAAAATTCAATAAACTATCGTTTTAATTGACTGTAGAAATAATAATTTTAACTTCTTTTTGATAGTGCATGTTAAACGAATAAATATACACTCACTTTTCGCGGCAAAAATAGATTGATTGCAAACGCTTCCTACGCTCTACTTTTGCTTTGCTTATATATCATGATTATTTGTGGTCTCACCAAAGCTTCTTTAATATGAATTCATTTAAAAGTTTGAAACTTTAATGAAGCAAAAATAAGCTACTAAAATTGCAAACAAAACGAATTTAAAACAGTAAAAGATTGAATTGGTGTAAGATTTTTTTTTATTCTCCGTGTAATAAAACAAAATATTTATTTAAATCTTATTCTTAAAATGGATATTCTTTCGGTTGTGTCATTCAGGAGAATGATTAAGTTGTTTAATATTCATAAATAAAACTGATTTTGGAATATTTTTCAAAATTAATAACTGCAAAATATTGACTTATTTATTCTCATTTTTATAGATACGTATTATATTCGTATGTATTTATTATTACTGGTAGTAAATAAAAAATTTAGCGCTTTGTTGTTAAAAGATAATTTCATTATGCAATAAAGACATAGTAAAAATGTATGGAAACAAAACAATTTTTTGATACGCAAATTAAATAGAAATGTGTAAGCATTATTCATAATTGAGTTTCAAGCAAAATTTGCTCGTAGTTTTTGTCATTCTGATTTGTGTAGGCAAAGGGTTTATATTAAATTTTTCCCATTTGCAATTTATTAGACTATTATGTTTTAAAATTTTATTTCTGTGCATTCAGTGGGATATTTCAAGATTGAATCCTGATACCTGATCGCGCCAACTGCTGTACCTAGGCGCCAGTGTCTCTTACTGATTCTTGTTGTTGTTGTTGCTAATCTCGGAACCGACTAGCAGCGCTAGATGACTCCCATGAATCCAAACACCTCCAAAAAGTCCATAAAAAGACTGAAGTCTCGCAGGACCTCATCTTAACCGAACCCCAAACAAGTCAGAATATGCGCAGGGTCTTCCATGTCTGTCGAGCACCAATGACATTCAGGATAAGTCTTATGGCCTCGGTTGAAAGTTGTGGGGGGCGGAGTTATCGATCATGCCAACCGTCATCTATCAAAAGGTACCTCGTGATAGAATCAAGTTAGCATGCTTTATATACTAGTGAATGATGTTAAACTTTTGTAGTGGTAGTTACCTACAGAGTAAAGGATCTAGTGTGGCCAGTCAAGAAGCGTAAAAAGACAGTTTGATGGGCTCTCGGTCTAAGATTGAAAGATTATCCTGGTTTTTCCTGACTCTTGTAAAATGTTTATATGTGATATATATATTTATATAATATGTCAGGTCTGTCTGGGTTTTTTTTAAGTGGTACCTATTTTGTGAAAATTCAGACATAATTTGTGAAAATTAAAAGCTATATTAAAAAATCACCACAAAAATATGGATTTATCTTTTCTTATGAGACACAGAAATAAAATTTTAAGAAAAAGTATTTTCTGAAACTACCGTTTTTCCTAAAGTTGAATTTGTGAAGGTACTGCTAAACGGTAGTAAATTTGGTTTGGGCAGACCCATGTGTATATCTATCAATATATATATATATATGTATATAGTGGCTCTGAATTTGTTCCATTCTTTTTATTTCATTTCTTTATTTGACAAGTTAATCACTTTTTTTCACTGAAACTATTTATAGATAAATATTGACTGAAACCTTCTTTGTTGATTTTATGCTGAAAGCTAAGCAATTTAATTTTATGAGAATGAAATATCTCATATTTTGAAATTTAAATAGAATATTTGAATTTTTAGGTGTTGTCTAAATCAAATATATGCAGTAAAAACGTATTTATTTCGAGCAGTGTATTGTTTAAAAATGTAGCAGTAGTTCTTTTTTAATTTTTTTTCAGTGCACCCTTGCACATTGTATAATTAGACCTGCATTTCTAAAGTAGTAATGTAGTTAAAATTTATTTTTGATCTTTTTATATTTTTTTAATGCAATTTTTATAATTCTCTGTATTTTAGAAGAATAGCCAGAAACTTGCTGCCGTAAAGACTTGTTTCTTCATTATTAAAGAAAATTGTTTTCTATAAAGTAAGAGAAAACTGTTTTATATTTATTATTAATAATTACTTGTTTATATATTAATAATATAGCATTTTATTTCATGAACATCTTTATTATTTCGTTTCTTTCTTTTTTTTAAAAAAAATACAACTAAGTGTTATTGTGAGTAAAATTAAATTTTTTTATGTTTCAAATAAATTTCTCCGTTCAATATGCACCCTTATTCCTCACTGAGTTTAAAAGTTAACAAGCAGTTTATGTGATAGCAACGTTGATCACCAGAAATGAAATCAAATGTTGCCATAAGATGAATTTTAACTCTGGTTAATAGCTGGTTAAGTTTCATGCTTCCTTCTTGCACTTCATGCAGTTTTGAAATAAGATATATCCAAGAGTAGCTGTTCATGTTTTCCCCCCTTTTTTTTTCTTATAAAAGGGAAAAATATGTTAATTTAAATGAATACATGAGATAATCATAATTGCCTTAAATCCACATATTTTGATAAGCTGTCAATTGAATAGGATCTTGCTTAACTTGACATGGTTATTTTGCAGATGTAAAATTAAATTTTGTTATATTTCTAATCAATTTGTTCAATTATTTTTCCGATCAAATTTCTTTGTGACATCATTAGTGAGCCTCTTAATACTTCGGTTCAATATACATCCTTATTCTTCACTGTTTTTAAAAGTTAACAAGCAATTTCTGTGATAGCAAAGGTAATCACCAAAAATGAAATCAATTGTTGTCATAGGATGAATTTTAATTCTAGTTAATAGCTGGTTAATTTTTGTGATTCTCTCTTCTTGCACTTCATACAGTTTTGAAATACAATTTGTCCAAGAATAGCTGGTTTAGTTTTTTTTTTTTNTTTTTTTTTTTTTTTGAAAGAAAAATTTGGTTAGTGGAAAGGAATTCAGAAGATAATCATAATTGCCTTAAATCCACAGATTTTGATAAGCTGTCAATTGAATGAGATCATTTGCCATACTTAACTAGACATAATTATCTCACAGATGTATGTTTATGACAATAATAAAATATATTTAGAATTGTATTTTCTAACCAGTTAAAAACTTTTAAATTTTGAATTTTTTTTTTATCAACAAAAATTTTTAGCTACTAAAATTTTTACTTTTTTTAAAAACTTTCAAAGCAATCTAATTTCAGTTTGACATGTAAATAAGTAATAGCATACATAATTTCATTTCAAAATCAGTTAGATTTTGTTTTAATGTTTAAAATGTTATATTAGTGTATTTAAGACCAGCAAATATGGCATGTTCTCTGTGTTTCTTGAGGGGAATTCGTGATTGTTTATGTCTTAGTTGTTTTAAATAAAATCTTACAACATTTATCTGTTAATTTTTTTTTTCTTTTGAATTCTATAGTACCTTTATTTACAAATTTAGTTCATTACTTATGTAATATGTTATCAGTTTTTCCTTTTTAAAAATATAGCAAGAATTAAACAATTTTTTAACCAGCGTATCTTTCACATCCGAATCTTGTATATTTTTATTGAAGCTAATGAATAGAATTACATACAGTTAAAATTTGACAAACTTATTCTTTTCTTGTTAAAATATGTTTTTTTTTTTAAATCTTTTCCTTTCTAAATATTTTCTGTTTTCTTAAGTATATTAATATATTAAAAATTAGTAATTAATTAATTTAGATTTTTATATAATATTTTTTTCCAGATAATAATGGCTTTGTATGCTGCCAAAAAATCATTAAGAAATCAGCTAAAAGATATATTAAAAAATATCCCTCCAGAAGAAAAAGTTCTCCAATCAAATATTGTTGTGAACAAAGTATGTAGTTTTGATTTAATATCACTTATTATTAACTGCCTTATCTTCTGACTACTTTACTTTGAACCAATTACTTGCACAAATTGATCTTTCTTAAAGAAATAAACAAAAAAAATGTATTATGTCTTTAGAGTAGATGCGCTAACTATTTTTTAATAATTTGCTGTAAATAAAAGTAAGTTAAATCAAGAAAATGAAAGTTGAGAAAAAACAGGATTATCCTTTTTGAGTACAGATTTGTGGGGGTGATCAAGTAAAATTGATCCATAACATGTTTCCGAAAAGAGGGACATAATATATTGTTAAATGCAGTCAGGAAAGTTAATTAAGTTAGAAAAAAATAGTAAAACAATATATATTCATAAAAATCTATGTAAATATTCTAAATTTATTTCTATGTTAATGAATGCATAAATTATTTAATGGTAAATTGTATTATTTCAAACAAAACATTTGTAATTTTTTATATAAAAAACTTCAAATTTTAATAACTTAAGCTTTCTGGGGGGTGAGTGTTATCGACAATGTCAATCTTCTTCTATAAAAAGATACCCTAAGGTAAAATCGAGTTAACATATTTTATATACTAGTGAATTGGAATTGAATTGTTGTAATGGTTGACACGCTATACTTTCTTATAAAATTTGTTTGTAAAGCCTGTTTTATTTATCTTCAAATATTTTGCTTTTGCCAAAAGTTTATCTGATAAGATTTTTATTAAAAGTAATACTAATAAATACCTAGGCATTATATTAATGCTGGGTATTTTTAGGCCAAATATGAAATCTGAGAATCGTGACATACTTTCCCAAGGCATTATACAGAATGAGAAATGCTATTTAGGCAAAGTATGAAAAAATATACAAATATTATTCTGAATAAAATAATGAAGAGTACCATTGAAAAAATTATTCAAAATACTTATAGGAAAATGAAAATTGTACAAAACAAAATTTATGTTTTTCTTATTAAGGGAGATAAAATTTTCTTTTAAAAAATAAGAAATTGAAGTTATTACAACATAACAGGCTTAAATGACATTTTTAATTACATTTCATTACATTCAAAACGATTCGAGATGTATTTCATACTTTTCCGGTTTCTCACTTAGCATTCTATAGAAAATGTATGAAATATGAATTGTTTCATACCTTGCCGAGTAGTTTCAGGCATTATATACAATACCTAAGCAATCGACAGAATGTCAGATTTTAAACTTTTCCAGTACTATATTGAATACTTCAGGTAATAAAAAATAAAAGATTTGAAGTTAAGTTAATACCTAAAATTCAGTACAAAAACCTCATAATTTTTTGTTTTATCAATTCATAATTTAATATAGTTTTTGCTTTATATTATCTTATTTTTATCTACATTCTTTGAAAATATCTCTGTTGTTTAGGTTAAAAAAAGGTTATTAAGAAAACGTTTATTAGGTTTTAATTAACATTAAAATTATTAAAATGAAATGGTTTTTAATTTGATAAATTTTATGTTGTATTTGTCCACTAGTTGCATGTTAAAAAACAACCATCAAGTTTAATTTTGATGTCAGCATTTTAAATTTTATTTAGTTATTACCGTTTTATTTTTTAGACAAACAATTACAGTTAAATTGTTCCTAGCAGTCATAATATTTATAATTATAAAAAACTAAACTCAGTGGCGCGACATCCCATTGAAGGTCAAGGCCTACTGTGCCCATCTCAGTTTTCTTGACCTTGGGCTCTGGGGTGCAGGAGCAGATGTTCCGGCCAGGTGGTCAGCCGAACGCGGAACCCCTAGTGTTTAGTTCCCAAGCATGCTTGGTACTGATTTATCGACCCACTGAAGGGATGAAAGGCTGAGTCAACCTTGCCCGGCCCGAGGATCGAACCAGGGACCTGTGGCACGACAGCGCGAAGCGCTACCGCTCAGCCACCGGGCGTCATTTAATTATAATTTGATTTAAATTAAGCATATATAATTTTATAATAATTAAAATTGCAATTTGATAAAAAAAAATTATTCATAAGCTTTAAGTGTGATAACTTAAATTATTTTCACTATGTTAAATTGTTAATAAGGAAATTAGTAATGTCTATGAATTTAAAATTCATAAGGATTTATTCGACCTTTTTTTTTAAGCCAATGAAGTTTAACCTTGTCATTTTCATTAAATCTAAATAATGTAATATCAAAATAATGTAATCAAAATAATGTATCAAAGTAATGTTAATAATGTAATGTCAAAAAGGTAATAAATTAAAACTTTCTCCCATATATTTGTATCAGTAGAAACAATAATTTTTGCTCTTGAACTTTATTATTTTGTTTATTTTATTATTTATGTTTTTTTTATTATTATTTTTTCTATTACTTAAATACTTAAAATTATTTCATGATTTGTATTTATTTTGGTGAATATTTAATTTGTAACTAATAAAAACATGTTATGTTTTGACACCCATAATGACATTAAATTCAATTGTCTTACTTGCTGTTCATTTTTCGCTACAAAACCTAATAACTGTTTTTTTTTTAAATAAAGAGTTAACTTCAATACCCCTATTGTTTCAGTTTTTTTATAAGTTTTAGTATGAGATCACCTTTTTCGTTAATTTTTATTAGTTTATTTTTTCAATTTCTACTTATATTATAGATAGTTGTCATTTTACTGTTTTGTGCATTTTCGTTAGGCTGAAAAATCACTTGATATAGTCTTATAAACTAAACAAAATATATAACCAAAAGTATATAAATATATAAACAAAAGTATATAAACAAAATAGTCTTAAACATCATTAGCTGTCATCAGTAAATACTGTTATAATAAAAGTTATAACAGTATTTACATGTGTGTGTAAATTATTTATTTATACTCTACTTAGTGGTATTACTTAGTAATATTTATCCCTTCTAGATATTATTGTCTGTTAATAATATGTTTTGTTTATTCCAAATTAAAGACAAAAAATTAAAAGTAATTTTCCTTTATTTTATCATGAAATAATCATATGATGATATGTTATTACACACTATTTTATGCTTAAGAAGTTTATTTTCTCTGTCCCTTGAGTAGTAAATGAGTTATATTTACTTTTTCATAAATTCTATTTAATTTTATAAGACTGTGTTTAATCAACATATTAAATTAAATCAAATAATTTAAAATAAGTATTTAAAGCTCTGGAAGAATATTCAGTATTAACTATCTCCATTACTAAATCATTTCTTCAGAGAAGAATATTAGACAAGACTTTGTAGCAATCAAAAAATAAATTAAAACGTAAAAAACAAGTTTCTGGATGAGGTTTCTATGGTAACCGAGCATAATTATTATTTTTTAAATTTTATAGCCATAGAATTTTTTTGAAAAAGCATTTTTTATAAAAAATTCTATGTTCTTTTGAACAAAAAAATTGCTTAATTTTGAGGTAACAATAAAAAATGATTGTGTAGCAATCATTTGGTTGATGTGCCTCCTATTTTTAACATAAAAAGTTAGTATGTTTCATGCTGTTCTCATAATTACTTCATTTTTTACTTTTCCTTTAGAAAGTAATTAAGTCGAGAGAAAAGTTTTTTTGTCCTCATAAGTTTTAATTTTTTTACTACTTTTTACATTCAAGTTCAAGACATCTTATAACTCTTGTTTTTATTACAGTTATTGCAGAGCTCTGTGTATAAGAATAGCAAGAGAATAAGTGTTTATCTAAGCAGGGACATTGAGATTGACACTAGATCAATTTTAAGGAGTATGTTTTCTTCTGGAAAAGAGTGTTTTATTCCAAAATATGAGTAAGCTCTAAAGTTTAAAATGAATTGAGAAACTTTTCTTTCTTTAGCACTTTTAATTATTGTTATCTTATTTATTGTAAAGAAACACATTTCTTTGAACTACCTGAAAGTATTTCAACTTTTGTCTCTAATTTTTTCCCCGCCTATTATTGTTTTAGGGGAACAGATTTAAATTGATGGCACTTTCTCAAAGACTTCTGTTTCTTGACCTTACCTAGTATATTAATGATTAAAAATATTTTGGGGAAAAAAATTAACACAAAAATTTTGATGGTCCATATTTTTTTTTATTGTGGTTTATGAAATTTCTCACCAGATCAATTTTAAGATTTAGTTATTAAGGAGTTTTATTAGTTATCCAATTTTAAGGAGCATATTACTAATCCAATTTCATAAAATGCTGCACTTTTTTTGGAAAAGAGTGCTGATTTCCAAAGTATGAGTTAGATACAGAGACTGTGAAACACAGTGGAATTTTTTTTACACCATTACTATTAATTTGGGGGGGGGGGTGTTCCAAACAAATTTTTATAGTTTATAATTTTTTTAACTGTTTTTTTTTTCTAGTGATACATATATGAAATATCTCACCTGATCAATTTTAATTTTTTTTTATTAAGGAGTTTTATTAGTTATCAAATTTTAAGGAGCATATTACTAATCCAATTTCATAAAATGCTGCACTTTTTTTGGAAAAGAGTGCTGCATTCCAAAGTATGAGTTAGATACAGAGACTGTGAAAACAGTGGAATTTTTTTTTACACCATTACTATAAATTTGTGTTCCGCATAAATTTTGATAGTTTATAAAACAAATTTATATTTTTTTTCTAGTGGTACATATATGAAATTTCTCACCAGATCAATTTTAAGATTTTTTTTTATTAATTAGTTTTATTAGTCATCAAATTTTATAGAAAGCATTACTTATTCAATTTTATGGAATGCAGCACTCTTTTGGAAAAGAGTATTGCATTCCAAAGCATGAGTTAGATATAGAGACTGTGCTACGTTATGAAAATTTCTTTTTTTTTTTTTTTTTTTNTTTTTTTTTTTGCTCTTATTTTAGAAAACGTACTTCTTAAATAATCTAAATTTAGTGAGAAATTATTTAGCGTAAAAAATAAGAAGAATCATTTCTTCAGTTTTGAAAATTCTCTTTCCTCATTTTTTATTATAGTTTTTTACATAAAAGTTTTAAAGTAAAGTATAAATTTTTATTTATTCAAGTAAGGAAAAGGTTTACTAGTAAGGTTCAAGTAAGGAAATCTTTATGCTATTAAATAAAGCTAAACAAAGTTTTAAAAAAGACGAGTAAATTTAATCGACATTATTTGTGCTAATTTCTTAGTTTCTAGCTTTATTTATATATTTTAATTACATTTATTTCAGTTCAAAATCAACCAATATGGAAATGGTGAAACTAAATTCACTAGATGAATTTGAAAACTTACCTGAAACCTCCTGGAAAATAAAGCAGCCCTTAGATTCAGATGTTTCTCATGAAAATGCTTTAAATTCAGGTGTGTTTTAAATACATAAATTTTGAATTATGCTTATTATTCTTTCATGAGAAATGTGGAAAATTAAAAGTTCTAAAAAGTTTTATGTTCTTGCCTCAGACTCTTTATATTATACATGTATGCGCAATGTGTACATATATTTTAAAGTTTCGTATTTTGTCCAATTTTCTTAAGTCCCGCAGTGGACTGATCGTTAAGACACGGTTCCCAGCAGATCACCGAAGTCAAGCATCACTGGCTGCGATCAGTGCGCGGGTGAGTAACCACTTGGATCAGCCTGCGTGGGGAACGAGGCTGTGCGGTATTGGTCCTCGTTAAACTGTTCTACCGTAACTCGATTTCGCTTGCAGGTCGTCGGGCTACCGAAGCGGGGGTGCCATCCCCTTTGCAGAGGATCAAAATTGTGATGGCATGTCTTCGGATCATCCTCAGGGGTGTTTCCCAGACCGACGCCAATAGCCCATCGTGCAGCTCTAGTGCGACGTAAATTAACTACAACAACCAATTTTCTTAACTTCTGACTTTTATTTAGCAATGTTTAAATAATGTTCCTGTTTTTATCTTAACTATTAAAAAAATTTTAGAATGTCTGATGAAAGTTTCCAGTTTTAATTTTTCATTAGGTTCGGAACTAATGTGTTTTTTAATATGAGCTCAGCCCGAAATATGATTTAATTTAAATGAGTTAGTAATATTAAAAGGTTTACAAACACTAAAATGTTTTGTAAAAATATAATACACAACAAAAAGAGTAGAAATGAATTCTATACTGTTATATTTGTAAAATCTTTCAAGATTCATTATTTTTGGAAAATAAAAAGTACACTTAAGGATTGAAAATGTTTCCACTGTGATGCTGAGACATGGACCTGAACCACTCACCATGTGGTGAGAAAACAAAAAAAAAAGTAGCAGTCTCAATTAAATAAACAACAAATCACTTTTTCACCTTTTTTTTTCTTTTGAAAATTAAATTGTTTAATGATAAAAAGTACATCAATGCAGAAAGAGACTCAGAAAAACAGAATTTTTCGTTCAACAGAGTTTTTTGACAATTAACATATTTCAATGTCGTAATGTATACATTAAATGTATTTCACCTTCCCTAAAATTTTAAAATAAAGTTCTTTAAAGTCAGTATCTTTAACTGAAATTTGTCTCATATATATAATTTAATTAAAGCAACAAAAAAAAAAAGTGAATTAAATTTTAAAAAACCTATCGATAATGGTTGTAAATTCATAAGGTTTACAGAAAAAGTGGTTACTTTGTTATTAGTGTCTGCTGACCACTGGCTTGGTAGCTGAAATTTTACATTTTCTGGTCTACTAGATTTTTTTTGGAATCTATACATTTTATTTTCAGATTATTTCGAAATTGCCTCTTAAATGTCAAAAAAATTGTGTTAGGAAAAGGATCTTAATATTAAGTCAATTCAAATAAGAGATTTATCGGCTTTAGGTGTTCAACTGTATGTTTGTAATTTTAAATCCATATTAGAAGGTATGGGGCAAGCGTATCATCCAGAAACTGATGTGAAGTTAAAAATAATGGTGTGTACGAGTAATTAAAAATATAGATCCTCCAATGGTTATCCCAACAACTGGTTGGTTTTTATTAGAAGTCACTCTTATGCCATTTAATAAATTATAAAAAATACAAATTCACTCAAATAAAACTATTTGCACCTTCAGGGGTCTGTTTAGGCCAAATTTCAACTTTAGGAAAAACGGTAGTTTCACAAAATACTTTTTCTTAAAATTTTATTTTTGTATCCTGTAAGAAAGGATAAATCCATATTTTTACCTTATTTTTGTGTATTTTGTGATTTTTTAATATAAATTTTAATTTTCACAAATTATGATTATGACAAATTTGAAATTTTAATTTTCACAAAACCTAGACAGACCCCTAACCTTATATATGTAACATTGAACAAGATTTATTTTGTTTAATCATGTGATCAATGCTGTTAAAGACTTAAATTTAACACACGTAAAATTTCTTCTTATTTTGTCTCCTTAGATGGTTTAGATCTTATAATTGTACCAGGCATAGGCTTTACCAAAAACGGTGATCGTATAGGCAATGGGAAAGGTTACTATGATATTTATCTTAATCGATGCAGAGAGAAATTTGGTAATCGATTTTCAACAATAGCATTAGCTTTTCGAGAGCAAGTTGTTCCTAATATACCTACGTCTGAGAATGATGTAAAGATTGATCAGGTTTTGTATCCAGAATAATATTATTATTACATTACATTTTTCCTGCTATGATATCTTGCATTATCATTTCTAATTTTTAATAACGAATGATTGTTATAATTATTTAACACAAAATTATAAAAGAAGAATTTTGTACTTAGTTTTAATGATTCTATAGGCGAATTATTGCAAAATACTATTTTGTATGCATTGTTTTTCTGTGCAATGTTTGTTCATATATATATCAAAGTAACTATTTTGCTATACATCTGAACGCTCTATCATTCAAGTCCTATGTATGTTTACTATACAATGCATGCAATTTAATGTATATAGGTTTATATTTATATAGATGTTAATCTTTGTAATTTTATAATGCATTTTATTGCTCAATTTTTGAAATATTTTATTTCGATATTTTTTTTTCTTTATTATTGATAATACTTAAGTTCATAGAAATAGTTTTTTACTGAAACTAATATTTTGGGATTCTAGTATTTTTGAATGTTTTATTTGAAAATTATAATTAACTTTTCATGATACTTATAAATTTTTAAAAAGTTATTTGATTGTATGTAAGTGTGGCATTGTTACTTTCTTTATATGTTTACCAACTGATTACCTGTTCGTCATACAGGGTGAAAAAAATCCATAAATTGGCACTGAACAATGTTACGAAATCATGCACATAAGTGAAAAAGTTGTACCAACGCAATTAGTAATTAATCTAAAATAATTTTTATGGCTTTGCGTAATTAGATTAAGCAAAGTACATTTTTTCAAAGTCATTCCATCAAAATAAAGATTAAGTGTTTTCAAAAGCATGTCATTTGGTATGATTCTGTTGCTTATGACAGTCAGAATTTACTACAGTCAAGCAATTATTTTTCGTACTTATCCTTTTTGAGGCGCGGTCACAGAAATCTTTCTGCCATATCTATGTAATACATTGTACCTGTATTAGTGTATTTTGTACCAATTAAATGTGCACCAATTACCATAGTAGCAGTAGTACCTATAACCAAAATAAATTTATCATTATTGATGTTTATGAATATATGGTTCTCTTAAACCAATAATATGGTTCTCCTATATAAATATCATTTCTTTATTAATTTTGCTTTTTACTACGAGACAATTAGTACATATTACCAAAATTGATTAATCATCATTGATATTAATAAACATATGGTTCTCTAAAACAAATAGTATTCTTCTCCTAATTGAATAAGTCTCATATCATTTCTTTATTAATTGTGCTTTTTAGTACATAACAATCAGTACCTATTACCAAAATTAATTAATCGTCATTGTTCCAGAAATCGTTGTTTTTTAATTAAGCAAAAAGCACTTCTGCCTCTGTCTTTCATAAAGTCTAAGAACATCAATGAATTTATCTGACATAATGAATAAAGCATAATCAAATTATTAAGAATGTGCAATAATCTCTTCCCATTAATTGTATGCTCATGGATGCCACTCTAAAATAATTTCAAGACTGAACTTATTTCTAAAGGAATTAATATGGTACATCATTGTTATTGGAATGCATAACTCACTGACCCCAAAATTTACCTTTCTGTGATTACGGTGTCAATAATTTGTTTTTAAAATTTTTTTCTTTATTTAATTAATTTTTAGCAAACAAAACAAAAATATCAGCTAATTGTTTATATTTTTTATACCTATAACGGAATAAAAACGCTGACTTTTTTCTGAAACCATTCACATCTCTACTTATTTTTTGCTACAATATTATTATTCATTCAAACACTATAATTAAAAATAAATAATATTGCTTTAATATAATAATATTGCTTTAATATAATAATATTGCTTTATAATAATATTAATTAATAAATATTGATTTTGAATAATTTAATAAATATTGATTTTTTGGCCAACATGCCAATGCATGGGGGGGGTAATAGTTACTTTCAGCAATAGTACGAATCTCATTCTGTCATTGCAGTGTGGCATCATTACTTCATCATTTTGCAATAATTGAGAAAAATAACATTGTTTTCTAAAAAATTATTTTTTTTAACTTTAACAGAAAATGTTACATATTTAAGAAATGGGAAAGTGATATTAATGGAATTTAGTCCAATGATTTATCTCAAGACTGACTTCAGTCCTCAGGACTGAAGAGTGGCACCCTTGTGTATGCTATAAGCTATAAAAATTCACTGATGTTATTTTTAGAATGTATAAAAAAAAACTGAATGATCCACAGTTTAATTTTTATCAATGGCGAGTTTTAAACCAATCAGAAAATTCCATTTTTCACAAACCATCATATTGAAATGTTTTTAGTATTTTTTGCATCAGGGCTAAAACTGCTCCTTTTATGAACCGTCCGAATTTCTGAACGCTAGTGGAAAAGGTTCTGGAGTTATAAGACAGAAGCACTCTTCATTTTATTATTATAGATACCTAATATATACATACAGAACTGTATGTATATTCACTTATGAAAGTTACTATTTTGCTATATACCTAAATGCTCTGCCACTCAAATCCTATATACTTTTTTATGCATACTATTTTATGAATATAGATTTATATTTTTACTGAAGTTAATATATGTAGTTTTATAATACATTGTAATTTTATAATTCTCAATTTTTGTAATATTTTGCCATTTTTTATCGTTGATAATATCTAAGTTTATTGAAATATTTTTCTACTCAAATACTCATTTTTGGATTCCAAATATTTATGAATGTTTTACTGAGAAAAAATTATTGTTAAGTTTTCTGGATATTAATAAATTTTTAAAAAAATTATTCAATTGTACATATTTTGTCAGTATTTATTTTTTATATGTGTTAGCTTGTTTCAAAACTTTCATATGATTTTCACACAAAGTATTTTTGTTACAACATTATCATGTTTATTTATTTATTTTTTAATTGTTAAACTTTTTATGGCAATACATGAGTCATTTATTTTAAAAACATTTTTGGTACAAATTAAGTTATAGTTGGCACTTGTTAATTAACTGTATATTTCTATTTCTAAATATTTTTTTAAGAGAAATCTAATGCAGCTTTTAGTAATCATTCTTTTCTGGCAGACTTAATTTTTTTAAATTGATTTAAAAATAAACAGGCTTAAGGAAATACTGAAATGTGTTTTGTACAGCTCATTTAATTTAAATTTGTATTTTCATTATAAAAAGTAAATAAACATAAACCACTAGGAAAATGTTTTTACTACGGATCATTTAATTTTTAAATTAAGTTATCAATATTTCATTTTACAATTAAATGAACTATCTTAATTGAAAAAGTAAAAGATGATAAACTATTGGTTACATGTTTTTAGTTCTAGTCATTTATTTTATAAATGATATATCTTGATTGTAAATTAACATTGACCACCTAGTAAAATGTTTTTGTATTTGCAGTTTAATTTAAAAAAGAAGTATCTTGATTAGAAATGTTAATTAACATAGATCACTAGTAATATATTTTTAATACTCATCATTTAATTTTAAAAGGAAAATTCCTAATTTAAAAATAGTTGGTAATAGCACTGTTATAAGTTTTAAATATATTTCAGACAAGCAGTCAATAATTTTGCTTGTAAAAAAATATTATTTTTAATGCAATGGTAGGAAAACTTAAAATCAAAAGCATCGTTTTGAAGATTCTGTCTATTTAATTATTAGCATTGCTACGAGAATCTAGGTCATTAAAATTGATTTTATGTCATAACTTAGTAGCAACGCTAGAAAATTAAACATTTTATGTAATAAAAACTTTTTTCGTCGTTTGTTAGTTAATGTTTAAAATTAATTGGACATAGACCATTTATTATTTGATTTAAACCAAATAGAAGATTTAATTTTTGTATTGAGAATTTTATTATTGATTACTGCTGATTTTTAGTTTGAAATGTTGTATTTTGAATTATAAAAATATTAGGCCTTTTAATTGTTCAATCCTCTTCAGTTTTCCAAAAAAATACAGTAACGCATTTTTATTTGAGCATTAACCCCTTAACAACCTTATTATTTTCAAGTAAACAGTCATAAAAGTGCCTATTTTTTATTTTAAAAAATATATATGTTTAAAAAAAGGTGTGTACAATATATGTATTCATTTTTGATTTTTTGAATAATTATTTTTGGCTTCAAATTTTAAAATTTTAATTTTTGAAGTGAAGCCGACATTCAGGGTTATTGAGATTGAATGCTGGTTTTCCAGTAAGCAAGAAAAATTAAAAAATACGTGTTTTAAACATTGCGAAAGAATTTTATTGAACTTTAGCATAATATTAATAAATATTAGTAATTTTTTATTTGATAAATTTCAAAGCATGAGATGCGAGATTGTAAGGCCAATGTCCAGTGTGTAAAATAAGAAACTAAAAAAATTCTGAGCAGAAGAGATGGATATATTTAAACCTTTTTTGGTGCATTACTTTTGAACGCTCTAGCCCAGAAAAATCACACGCGCGAGAAATTGGAGAATAACACTCATCTTGTGATTTTGATGGGAGGGAGAGAGAAAGGGTTAATAGCTAAAAATAATATTTATTATGAACATAACTTATTGAAAGAATTGATCGTAGTTTCTCTAAATAGAATTATAGGGGATGCTTCCAGAGTATTTTGTTGCAATTCGATTCAACCTGTTAAAATTTTAAGATCTATCATATTTTAAAATTTAAAAAATAATTAACAAACATGTTTGGTTGCCAGTTTTTTCCTTGATATATTTTTGTCAAAGCTCATGAAATTTTATTTTATTTAAATTTTACTTAGAATGTATCTTCTCTTCTTCTATTTTCTTCTTTACCTAGAAAAAGACTAGGGATCAGACTTTCTCTTTAACAGTTCCGTAGAAAGTGTCCTAGTTTTAAAAAAATTCATCATAAAGTTCTTGTCACAAAGATGTTAAAATATGGGCAAGGTTCATTTATATATATTTACTTCTAATTACCAAATCGATGATATTACTAAGCTAGTTATTGTTTTGAGAAGTTTTATATTTATTTATCTCCAGAATATAATTTTCTTACTTCATATTTGTTTGATTCATAATGTTTTGTCATAAGTAGTGATACTAATAAGTCAGGCTTAAGGTGAATTTTTCAACAAAAAAAAAATCGAGGCAAAAATCAGCTGCCTAAATAAGCTCAAACCATATTTTAATTTCTTTGAAAATTCATTTTGAAAGCTTGCTTTCTAAAATACCAGTAAAAGGCCGTTTAAATATTATGTAAGCAAATTTTTTTTTGTGTGTGGTAATTTTAGGCCTTTTCTCATCACCTTGGCAACAAAAATAAAGAAAGTAGAAACCCCTCTGTGCTTAAATAACAAAATTGCTACACCCCTCCTTTTGTTTTGTTTTATACAAAATCTACGTATTTATTTCATACAATTTTGAGATATCTAATTTATTTCATAAAATTTTGAGAGAATATTCTTTAAAAATATTTTGTGTTTTCCAGCTGTGATTGAAACTCATTGAAGAATTTTTTTTCCAACTTTTTTCTCTACTAAATTTTAACTTTTAATTTGAATTGATGATTTGGCTAAGTGTAATTTTTTCTAAAAGTTTTTGTTTGATTTCTTTAGTATTTTTTTTTTTTTTTTAGTTTGAAGTAAAAGTATTATTAGTATCTTAACATAAGTAATGTTTATACCCTCCTTTGCCAACGAAAAATGAGCAAGTCACAAGTTATGCATATTGTGTTGTGTCTCCTTTACTCATTAAATAATATGCTTTTTTACCATTTTAATTAAATTAAAAATGTTTTTTCTGGTGGAGAAGTATTAGGCTTCATAAAGCTAATTTAGGAAATTGTGATACTTTTGTGAATTTTAACAGTGGCCATTTGCTGAATTTTTAACTTTAACATTGGCCACTTTTTCAAAAATTGATAGTTTTACACAATTAAAAAAACTGTTGGCATTAGTTTTGAATGGCATTTCCTTTGAAGTAATTTTAAAAATATGGTTAACATTACAATATTTATAAATTGAAGAAAACTTTTACAAATAAGTGCAAAATAAAGTAATTTTCAGAATATTATGAAATATTTCTCATAGTTTCATATTTGATAATAAAATTGCACACTGTCTGCATTTTCGATTTAAAAAAAAATAAGAAAAAGAAGTGGGACGACTGTCAGACAATTTATAATCCCTATTTGTTGTATTTAGTGGGTGGTGGCGACCTTTAACTTTGCCTTGTACTGTGCTCATAAATAAATATATAAATTGTGTAATTAATTCAACTTGGTTTACACATTTTGTGAATTTCTTTCAAAATGAAAGCATCTTACATTTAACTAAAAGCAAATATATGTATTTTATACACGTAAATGTATTTATATGTTTAAGAATAAATGGAAAACAACATGGAAAAATAACTTAGATTTATTAAATATTGTTTATCAAATAGATTAATTACAAATCCATCTATTATTTGGGGAAAAGTTTATATATTCAGTTTCAGACATAATCATTGGCAATATCAACACAGAAACTCTTGTATGTCTCTTAAATAATGCATTGTACCAGCAACACTCTTTGAATTCACAGAATCAAACTTAATCACAAGATCTTTTATGAAAGTTGTTTTTTTTTTTTGATGACTTGTTATTTTAAAACATAGTTGACTCATAGGGTTACATGGGTTTTAAAATTTTTAAAAAAAAAATTTATTATTTTTTTTATACGTATTAAAAATATTTTACCAACTTATTGATCAGAGTATAGCTCAAGAAGAAGTATCCTTTGAAACTCTTCTCATTTGGCTTGACTGACCAGTCACGAAAATGGAAGTTGGTTGATGTGATTTCGCAAAACCTAATGCTCCCCATAAAATTTTGTATGCACCTAGATAAAATTGACTAATTATTGAATAGAAGATATTTTTTTCTTTGAACACTACTTATTTTGTAAGGGAACACATAAAAATAATTTTTCTTTTCTTCGTACGCAACTCCTCCAGAAATTAAATTTTTTTAAAAATCCTTAGTGCAATTAAAAATTAATTTTGACCAATATGACAATTGTTTATAAATTGAATATGACTGTAAAGAGTTGAAATGTTTATCAATGTACAGGGAACCGATTATCCGGAAAGATCGGGAACATCGCTATTCCGAAAAACTGATTTTTCCGTTTTTCTGAATCGCTACAAAAAGCTTTTTTTTTTTTTTAATTGTTAAACCCAACTAAAAAATAAAAAAAAAATATTTGGAAATAATCTTAAAAAGAAGAAAAAATGATGAAGTAATACACTAATGATTATTTCCAAAATGATGGTAAGGTAAACATCTTTCAAAAAAGAAAGAAATATCTTAAGAGGAAAAAAAAAATTTCAAAAATTGCGGGAAAATTTATCGAATTTCGTTCCGGTTTTTTGATTTCCGGATAACGGGTTCTGTACTAGTATTAAAAAAAAATTTTGTGACCGAAAGTATAAAAAAATGTTAAATTTAAAAATCTAAACATATTTACTACCATGACTAAACACGGTTGCCATAAAGTTTCAAAAACAATGATTTTGTAGGTGAGAAAGTGTGTGACTGGGTCATTTTTGTCCCAAACGGTAGATAAATGTCATCCATTGACTTCCGTGCGTCACTGGATTGAGACACAAGAAACAAACTTAATTTGATTTGACAGTGTTAAACATTTGATTGCTAATGGCGAACTGACGAGTGGAAATTTTGTATCCTAAAGTATCCTGACCACCATAAGATTCTTTTTTTTTATATAAGAAGCCTCTGAACACCAATAAAAATTAGCAGAATTTTTTAGAAATTGTATAAAAACATTGTTCAAAAGTTTTTTGCATGTGCTTCAAGTTTAAATGAAATATTTTCTCTTATGGTATTAAAATAAATATGACTTTGTTTTCCTTTTAAACCCATTTAATTCCTTTAAAAGGCATTGAAGAACTATGAATTAAAGGTGTTTTCCAAAGCTCTTTAACTAAATAAAATTTTAAAAAATAGCCACCATTTGCCTTGAACTCGAAGCAAAGCTGTAATTTTAAAAGTTATATATCATCTTGTAAAGAATTATCTGCTCTTTAATAAATTAAATATTTAAAAAATCGCTCCACTTTGACAAAATTTGTTCACCTGGGTGACAATTTTTTTTAAATTGACGTATAATTCTTAAATCTTGCAAATCTTTATGTACCTGGCAGCATTGCAGTAACATTTCAAAAATGATATTAAAAAAAATACATCGCAAATGCTCTTCAGTTTCACAATAAAAGTGACTTTTGCGCCATTTTCTCAATTAATGCAGAAGACGCTGACTAAAGTTAGGCTAAACAGTCACAGTATTCTTTAAATAGCGTTATTCTGTATGATGACTTCGAGAAGCAGCCTTAACATCATCACTATCTTCTAATTGACGAGAGTTATACAAAAGAGAATCACATTGATTGGAATATAATAATTTAATGAAGTCCACATAGTCACTGGTAAGTTATTTGCATTGAAATATTCAATTTAATTTGTATTATTTCCTAAGTATAGTCTTTATCATGCAGGACGTTTGATTCGAAGAAAAACAAAAGTCAGTGCCACTGCTATGCCAACAACTAATATGATGCCTATAGCCATGCCAACCATATTCAAAGCCCTTTTTCTTCTTTTTTGAAGATAACTGCGTCTGTAATGTGCTTCCCATTCTCTGAAATTTATTGGATATGTTCTGTAAAGTTCATCCATCTAAAAACAAAAAAGAGAGTTATTTTGAGTTTCTAAAATGCATCATAAAAATAAATTTGTATTTCTTTTTTGAGATTTAATGATAATTTATCCCTCCTTGCGTTTCTTTCACACTTCGCTGAATTCTTTCTGTTTTGTGCAATTTTTATGTAAGTTTACACTGTCCAAATGGTTTGTTCCTATAAGACATTCCTCTAAGTTGCCAACCAGAAATGTCTATTTTTGGAAAACATAAAATAGTTGTTAAAATATTTCATTATATTTTGAAAGAAGCCGACCTGACTGCGTAGTAGTCAGGGAGCTGATCTCAACTCACAAAGGTCCTGGGTTCGAATCCCGGACAAGGAATTTTTTTTTTTAGTTTTAACTGACCTAATGCGGGAGCAACGTTGGCCTACCTAATATGGTGCCCCTGAAAGAGTGACCAACAAATCTGACCTACTGATACCTGAATGACGAGTGCCAATCGGGTGGGCATTGGGAAAAAAAATTTTAAAAGAAGAAAAACTTACCAAAGCCATCACTACTTATCTCTAGTTAGAATATTTATATTTCCTATGGAAGTTCACAAAAATATAAGTGTTAAGAAATAGTAGTAGATACATAGTTTTATCCCGATTTTTTATATTGAAGTGGTGCAAAAAGTGGTTTTATGAAATAAGTGTTATAATATGTTATTCAACTGAATGGCTAATATCAACTATTTGCTACCATTTTAGTTCGAAATGTCCCTGCACCTTATAGATATACATCTAGTGAGAGAAACTTAAATTACTAATAAATTGTGGTGGAAGGGAAACTTTTAATTCTAGATAAAAGACAAAATTGAAACAATTGTCCTACTACAATATATGTTTTTGAAAAAGGAAACTGTCCTATAAATATGACGCTGGGCACTAACAGGTTAATCCTCTCAATTAAAATGAATGAAAAAGCGTACCAGGGGGACATTCAAGAAGCTGTTGTAGCGGGCCAAAAAGCCTTTCGGAAATGCAAACTGGAAGTTTCAACCAAACTTTGTACTAGGTTGTAAGCTCAAAAAAGTGGTGTAAGGCTTATTTTCCGAGCATGACATCATTTGATGAATGGCCATCCTACTCGTCAGACCTCAATCCCATGGATTAGAGTGTATATTTCATTTTGGAGACAAGGGTTAACTAAACCACACAAAAGTTTGGACTCACTAAAGCAATCACTTCGACAAGAATGTGATAGATTAAAAATAGACGACATGTAGCTCATTGTTGAGAATTTCAATGAGCGTTTCCTTCTCTAGATCACTGCCAAAGACCGCCACTTTGAAATCAATTAAATTTATTTATTAGTTAAAGTTCACTCTTGGTAATATTTGTCATATAATAAATTAACAAAATAATTGTTAGTAAGTAAACGATTGTTAATTAACAATTAATTACTCATATATTCTTAATTATTTTTAATTAATTGTTGATTGGTAGTAATTAATGATTACTTGTAGTTGTCTAATGCGGAAGCCAACTCCGATCAGAATATACTGGCATAACAAGGTGCAAAAATTGTCACTTGTAAGTAGTACTTTTCGAATCCCCATATTGAAAATTTGAACTTTAAATAAAAGTTAGATACCACTGAATGCCTTTCTGCCATTCTCGTTTTCAAGGAATTTTCTAGGCTAGACTACTGAAAATGTTTATATTTAGCTTTCACTCGAGCATTATAAAAACAATCCTGAGATATATTTTGCTTACTCATATATTTACTTTAAATTAAAAAAGAGAAAGAAGAAACAAATTTTTGTAGATACGAATAATTCCTAACATATATATTTCTCTTCTATGTTTCTCTATCTATATTTTTTTGCTACCACTTTTGAAAAATGTTTCAGGTCATAGCACCCCTGATAGTACAGTGGTCGCAGCGTCCTGTTGAAAATTGAGAACTGGTACACATTTTTTCATTAAGTTCATCAAATAATCTAACTTCAACTTTCAATAACAAGTTTCTAAACTAAATATGAATCCATAAATTATGACCAGGTTGTCAAAATATTTTGCTTCACTCAACAATTAGAAGAAAAATGTCTGAATTCTCTTTCTACCTTTTTTAAAAAATCTTTTATAGGACGCTTTAACCACTGATAGTTCTATAACTAATGATACCCCAAAAAAAGTGCACAAAATGAATAGCTAATGCATCGTACTAATGCTACAAATTCGAACAAAAGTATAAATCAGTGTTGCCCGTCTAAGAAATCCTTACGTAAATTTACGTGAGCTGACCGTTAGTAGGGTGGTCACAGTCTGAAAGCGAATTAAAATCGTTGAAAAAATTAAGCATAACAAAAGGCTTTAATTTAGCCCTACTTAGTGAAAAATATTTGCAAAATAAATTTGTTAAAACTGACCAACTATCTTACTTCTGGACAACATTAAACTGAAATAAAAAAACTCTTGAAATTTCTAACCCTTATGAAATATTCGCCACCACTTTTTATAACTTTCCAGACTGCTGTCGACATTCTTTTAATATTTTGAATAGGTGGATTGATCAATACTTGACAATAAAATATGTATTTAATAAAAAATGAATTTATTTATATAAAAAAGGGGTGAAACTAATTTATTTATGTGTTACCACAATATTATGCGTGGTGTTCAGTGAGTATCTCTTCTGAATGTTCAAGCTAAGTTCTACGAAGCAGGCACACAACTAGTATTCTAAGAGTAAAACAATGAACGCGCATGTCCCATGTTAGTTAAGAAAAGATGATTAAGAGTCTCTGTCTAAGTTAAGAAACAACAGGAAGTGCGGCACTAAGTCAAGAAAAACTTATATTTTCCGATAATTAACTATAATCCCATAGATACATATTTTTTTAAATAAATAAACAGGATTGCCACTTTCCAAAAAAATTTTAAAAATGGTAGTAAAATATCAAGGAATCAAAATGATTTAACTAATTACCATCGATTAAAATATTTGAAAATTAAATATTTGTGTTACAACTGACCTACTGAATACCTAAAACTGATGTGAAAATAAAGGCTTCGAAATTTACGATAATCTTATGAAATCTTTGTATCCACATTTTAAATTTTTTCTAGATTATGTGGCAACCCTGATAAACGTATCAAATGTTACTAATTGTGACGTGAGGGGTGTTTAAAAGCTGCAAACTGCACTTTGCAGGTCGGCTGGTCACTTGCGGTGACCAAACGTTATTAATAATAAATACAATGTTTATGTTTTGTTTTCTGAAAATAGTTTAGTTGTTCAAATTGATATTCAAAGATATTAATTTACCTTTATGGGTTCTTTTAATCCTCTTGGCACTATTTGTGGGGCTTTCTTATTTTTTGAGCCATTTTCCTTTGTAATTTGACCACCATTTATGACATGACTGTTTAAGTGTGGCAAATTCATTACAAAAGCCGCATTTATTGGTTCACCTTTAATTAGTTTATCGACATCCTTTCCAAGACGGAGAGGAGGTGGATGTATATGCTTGTGTTGAGAAAGATCTGTGTCAGAAGCGAATTTCACTCTTCGATGAGGAATGTAACAGCAGGGGCAGGAGTGGGACGCCAAATGCGACTTGTCTTTGTCGAGTACTGATGCCAAGCAGTGTTCGCACTTGCATTTTTTAGGTTCTCTCAAGGATCGTCTTTCTGATAACGACTTTTTAAGCTGTCCTGAATCTGTGCTCTCGTGTTCTCGAGAACTTCCATCCGGCGAGTACCTTGGGCTATCTTTGGAATTTTCTTTACTGGATGTTGACGTACTTCGATCTTCTGAGGATTTGTGATGTTTTCCCGCGCTGTCCAGATGCATCTGGGAACTAGGATATGGCGCCCATGAATGTCTTGCTCTAGCTATATCTGGAGGGTAATATATAGGGTAAAAAACGTCATCATCAGATGAATGTGGAAAAGAGTGGCGATGCATGCACGAACAGCACATACCTCTTGGAATTTGGGGCAGATAAACATTGTCGTAACTCCAGTGACCTGGGAGCAATTGGTGAAAGGCTAAGGGCCTGTGAACATTTTCGCACAATTTGCATTTATGGGATTTCTTCGAATCTGAAGAATCTTGAGTGCTTGAAGTGCTTTCTCGTTTATGGTCCTTGTGTTTAGTGGCACGTTGTTGATATTTTCGTGGCTTTAAGTAACTACTCGAACTTGAACCACTTGAATCATCTTGGCGAGTAACTCCGTTCGAGGTAGATTTGTTTGAGAAGTTTAATGTCTTTGGTGTGGTAGAACTAGTGGTACTCCTACGATCAAGAGATTTGTCGTTTAAGTCTAAAGCACTGTCGGTGCGAGTGACTGAATTATTTGACTGCGGTAAATTACTGCTTCTATTTGGCACTTTGGTGTTGAGGGCTCTGGTAAGGGACTTCATTAGATCAGTTTTAGTTTTTTCCATGTCCGGTTCCACGGGGGGTTTAACTTCAAGAGAATCTAGAAAAACTTCTTCAGGGCGATCGTTTCCTCTTTCCAACAGTTTCTGCAACCTTTCCCTGACTGCTGAATTTGGTATTTTCACTTCTTTTTTCGGCAAGTAATCGTTGTTGGTAACGTTTTCTGTCACCGTACTTGACATAGTTAAACTGTCGAAGGGATCTTGTGACGATTCGCTGCTGCCTCCGAAGTATGAATTGGCACTGAAGGTCTGACTACAATTGGAAGAGTTTGACGAAGATAGTACAATCACGTCCTCTGGGTACGAAACACGGTGAACGTCAGCCGATACGATTACTGCTTCTGGTTGGGAGCATTCATCAGAATCGGAGCTCATGTGTCGTGCTTCCAAAGAAACGACATCGTCCGTCAGGCTTCCTGCTGTGGTCAGACTTTTTGGATGACTGCAGGAGGAATAACCAGTATCATCAGAAGCTCTTGTTTCGTTTTCTCTCCTCTCTTCGCTGAGGGATCTTTTTAAATGGATGGATGAGGAGACGCTCTTAGTGTCCTCTTCTTCGTCCTCAAATATAGGGTTAACCCTGTTGACGGAATAGACTTCAGGAAATGGGGATTTGGTGAGATGACTACAGTATAAAGGATCATCAGTAAGGACGAAGGGGAGAGGCTCTCTGTGGGCCTGCCAATGTCCTAGAAGTAGCTTCAACATTTCTTCTTTTTTCCACCAACCTATAAAAGGAAAATAACGAGTGAGTTTCAGTTATGTAATTTAAAACTTATCTTATATTTTCTTGTAATCATTACAGTCCTGGAAAACATTGAGATACAAAATCGCAACCTTGTTTTGTAGCTCGTTGCTAAAAGCTACGATAAGTTTTTCTTTACATTAAAAAATTTTAAGGGCTGCCGGCGCCTCATTGAACTCGATCTCCCTCCTACGGTTTTAACATTTCGATTTCAAACTTAGTACTATTGACTTGTATTATTAAATATTTTTTCATGATTTTTTTAATATTCAAAAATCATGTGTAGCTTTCCACAATATTTACAGTGGCTGGGAAATATGGATTGAAAAAGAAGTTAAAATTAAAGTGCTAAAATTTTCGCTAACACCTAAAAACATCATAATTTGCTCACAAGCTCTTTTTTTAAAAATATATTTAAATGTCGTGGTAGGCAATATATTTTAAATCTATTGTTGAAACATACATTTTTAATATGCATTTTCAATCTTTGAAAAATATCTCTGAAGAAGTAGGCAGCCCTTTAAATGTCTGCTTTGAAAAAATATTTGTAACTAATTAAAGAAAATTAAGATTTTCAAATAATATCCACCCTTTTTTTATTTTAAAAACCATGTACCTTTTAAATCAGGACAGAATTAGAATTTATACATTAGTCTCATTAAACACATCACAGTCAAAATTTATTTGGGTGTCTGAGGTCGATTACGGCCCTTTTCCCATCCATCTTGAAGATTTAACCTTAAGGTGATACTTTCTGGTAACTGGAATACAAATTGGAGTGAAGAGAAAATTAAATATTTTGTATTCTAGATAAAGATGCGTCGCTACAAAAATAAGCAGCCTGAGGCTTATGTCTTCTTTCATGTTTTCAAAAATAACAATTTCATGAATTCCTACTGAAACACAGCTTCTGGGTTTTTTTAAAAAATTGCAATTAAGCTTCGCAATACAATGGTCTAAAAAAATCAATGTTGAAATTGCGATTCTTTCGTTGGGTATTTTGGATCGTGCTTGCGCTATTTTTCGAAGTATTTTATTCAGACATTTTTTTGAGTTTCTCTAAGAGTGACGGGGAGATGGTACATAAATGGTACATGGTTGGCGATGGAATAGGTCATTAAGGTGTAGAGTAAGCGTTTAAGTCTGAGTTCCATTTTAGAGTTTTGAAGAAAAATGTGCTGTTTGTGACAGGCTAATTGTGCTTTATTGATAATTGATTTATTTGAATCGTTGAACAGCCGATCCAATTTTATGGGTTTACTATCACTAATAATCAACTTCGTAGCCTTGTAATTTTGAACCCAATCCAGAAGACAAGGGAACTCTTGGGCCGAGTATTGGGAGAATTTTTGACTTTGTGGAGGACTTTTTGATGGAGCTAACCTGCATTTGCGTTATATGGAGAGGAAGATCACGAGAATCTCCCACGATTAACCTGACGGCAAGGGGACTCTAACCCATGATCCATTTACCACTGAGGATATTTCACGTCAGCACTGTGGTCAGTGCAAGCCGGATGCGGAATTCGTATCGACTGGGATTCGAGGACCCAGAGGTGTTGATTTGCTATGGGAACATGGAGGACTTTGATACTTGACAGATTTAACGTGCATCAGTCACCATTTACTACACGGGGAGTCTTCGGCCGACGGGGATCGAACCTTCGAACTCATGGAGATGGACCCAGTGCCCTACCAACCAGGCTATCCCGGTCTCATAATTGATTTGACATAATATTTCCAATTAAAGATATTTCTCACTTTTTACAATGGCTACAACTTTAAACACGATTTTTTCATGTCTTAATTACTGGCCTTATAATCTAGTGGTAATAAAATATTAATACGCAACAATTATAAAAATCATAGCGATGGTTTGCGATGACACATCAGAGGTTATATCGGTTTGCGGAAGAAAAAAAAAATTAAAATTCTCTTCATACAAGAAAGAAACATAAACGCCCATTCCCATATTTACTGTGAATAAACTTATGAAAAGAAGTGAAAACAATCCGAAGAGTTAGATGAGAAGAAAAAAAAGTGGAGGAAAATTAGCAAAGAAAAGAAAATATGTTTGATGGACGATAGAATGCAGGGGTGTAACTCTTTTCCTATGTTAACGCCTCGTTGAACGAGAGGTAAATAAAGCATGAAAAAATAAGGCATAGTCATGGCATTTATGGTCCATTGATTTCTACGATAGGAAAACATCTAGAATAAATATTATTGTTAAACACTACTGTTACTGATATCTAAAAGTCCATTTTTTTATCACAGGTGTTTCGGGTACCTATGTTCAATTCCGTAGCCTTGTAATTTTGAACCCAACCCAGAGAACAAGGGAACTTTGGGACCTAGCATTGAGACGAGCTTGCCTTTATAAAGGGCGTCTAGAAGACCACTTTATTTCATAACCGGCGTTGAACAGCCGATCCAATTCTCAGTTTTCAATGTTCAACTCCGTAACCTTGTAATTTTGAATTCAACGCAGAAGATAAGAGAGTTCCTGTGGCATTGGGGCAAACTACCTTTGTGGTGGACTTTTTGATTGAACTAACCCACATTTGCGTTACATGGAGAAAGAAAACCATGCAAGATCCTCCATTGGTAGCCCGACGACAAGGGGAATCTAACCTGAGATCCGTCTACCACTGAGGATATTTTACGGGAGCACTGTGGTTGGTGCAAGCAGGGAGCAAAATTCTTAACAACCTGCTACCACTGGTATTCAAACCTGGACCTCCATATTGGGAGGCGACCGAACCACCTCGACTATCCATTTGATAAATTAAAAGCACGAATGCCAACTGATTAAGTTTCGAAAAATATTTTACAAAGTTAGTAGAATATTAAACGCTTAAACTTTCTGAATTCCGCTTTATTTTTTCTTCTTCTTTTGACTAATCCTTTAAAATCCCTAATACGAAATATTTAATTATTTATTGTTACGCACACATATGCAGATTTCTGTGCTCATTATGAAGATGGCTTGACAAATACTTGTCTAGTTGGAGAACATGTAGCACAAATCAGAGAAAGACATCACAAAGATAAATCTAGGGCAACTGCAGGATTCGAACCCGATATCTCCAAGCAACAGAGCGTTTGACGTCCTGTTTAATATAAATAGTGGTAGCAGGATCATGTTTTTTGCCAGTTTTTGGACAAAACAAGATGTTTTTACTACGGCATATTTATTTTACTCCGTTTCACCTCAAGTTGGCACTGGAGAGTAAGGCAGGTAGACTGGATTGCAGTCGTTGTCATGGAAACTAGGTTACTCTAAGTTAGTTGGAGGAATGAGGTAGCAAAAAAAGGAGAGAAAGGGGCCAATATTGGCGGTAAAGAAAACAAAGCGCCTTTTTTTTTTATCAGGAATTTTACTATAATGAACAAAATAAAGAGAAGAACAAGATTTTTTTTATAGCATTTCTAATAATAATTGATTTGAGATACTAATAGTAAGCTGATTTCTAGTTATAATTTTTAAAAAACAGATTTTTTTATTAATAGTTTTTAACTAAACGAAACTAATTTTAAACGAAACAAAATTATATTTAAAAATATAATATTTTTTTATTAAATCTAAGTAAAATAAATACACAGTTGAACATAAATACCTTACTTTCGATACTTATTTTTGTATGCAACCTTTTCTTTTTTATAGATTTCTGAACATTAATTTATCCCACAATGGTGTTTTTTGGGGGAAGGAAAATTCAACATAGGCATGAAATCATTGATCATGAATAAGATCATATTTATGTTTTATAGTATTTACTGTTCTTTTTTTTAAATAAAGACATCACATTTATTTCTGAAAAGTTCTCTTTTATAATAAAAGTAATTTTTTTTTCGAATTATATTTGCTTCTATGAAACAAAGGAATTTGTCTAAAATAATCTCCATAAAAAACCTCTCTATAAGAGAAGATATTGCCTTTTCCTGTTCTCGAAAAAAAATCCCAAGTCTTTAAAAATCCGATATAATGCTTAATTAATAGTTACAAAATAACAAAAATAACAAACTAACATTTAGTAATTAGCAAAAAAAAAAAAAGCAATCTAACAAGGAATCACCAAAAAATTAACAATTGATGCAAAAAATAAAAATTAATTACTATAACAAACAAGCTAACAATAAATAACTAGCAAAAAAAAAAACAAATTAACAGTTAATAACTAATAAAGACAAAACAAAAGAAGAATTAAGCGTGAAAGATCGCGCCAATTTCTCGTCCTCGGAAACTAATTTATCGCCAGATTTAAACATCTCCTTTGTACATTCACTTTCCAGAAAGGGTATTTATAAGTTAAATACATTTAAACATAATAAAACTTCTAATACATGTTTCAAGATAAACTTTTCTTACTATACAATATTTATTTAAGCACATTTAAACTGTAATTAATTCCAAAATAGCGAAGAACTACTTTTCAAAGGCGTAGTATTACATTTCCTACCTTTCTCTGTAGTGCCAAATTGAGGTGAAACGAACTATAGCAAAAGTGATAACGGTGTTATTTTTAAATTAAAGTGACAAATATTTTGTGTAGTTTAAAACAAATTGAAAACTTTTGTTTGCTAGTTTAAAAAGAATTGGCTGTTACATCTTAATTTTTAATAGGACTCTGCGAACTCTGTAACTGGTACAAAGTGGTATATAAATGTGCTTAATTATTTTATATGTAGCGGTGCGCAAAATTAGCTTTTTATTTTAAATTTAATAAACCAAGAAACAACTATAAGTACATAAAGTTTTGCTTCCAGTGAAGAAATTTTCTTCATAAAGTGAAATATGTCGGCATCCGAAGCTTCGAACAATGATTTAGGACGAATACTGTTATTTGACCACCAAATATTACTTTTCATTAACATTATATTTCAAAACAAAAATGTATTATTTTTAAATGTTCTGAAATAAGTTTAACGAAATTAAAGTAATATTGAACAAGCTCTCGTCGTTATTATTTCAGAGCTGAAT